TCATGGGTTGCATGGGAAAGGGGTATTCTCGTTGCATGCATGATGAAACTCCAAGTTCGTAGGTCAAAGCATACGGTGAGGCAAGACATGACTGGTACATGACATCTTGGTGCATCACCTGGCGTGCACAATGTATGGAGGAATTGCATTTTCCCATGCTCCCGCTCTCATCATTCCCGCGAATTCCAGCATGCTATTACACGTGAATTTGGGCGGCATGCCAGTCACGTCTTAGGTTACGGAAAATGTTATCTGGCGCGTTAAGACGCATGTTGGGTTTGGAGGAGCATAGTATATCCTACTTCTTTTGTAAATAGCGTCTGAAACTACGATACCAATGACTTGTCTCACTGACTAAAGAAGGGCTAGTTAGAGGCAATCTGCGCGGGCAGGGTTACTCACGCTTGCCGTGTGAAGATTCATAAAAGTTATTCAGTGGCCAAAAAGGAGCATACAGCTTTTATGAGTCCGAAGGTCGTTGAATGATCCGACACTATCTGTCAAATGGGAAAATTATAGGTTCCTAACATTACTGCGGAGCAAAACCAGTAGGTAGGCGAGGCGCTACGTCGGGTGGATTTTGTTCCTTCTATACGGCGAGCTGCTCTGAAATTCCTTCTGCGTAGCGTTTATAGGCGTGGGAATCAGAAAGCCCATGTAAATTAAATTGACTTTAAGCTGTTTCAGTCTTAACTTGAACCATTCTAACTTCGCTAGAGCTGGCAACTGATATTGCAGGGAAGCCTTCCCGGCATTTTAATCTCTAGACGATGGTGTAAAATTGTTTAAAATAAGCTGATTACGCACAAAATCACCCTCCCTAAACTGAGCCTCATTAGCATTCCATAACCTCGTTCCTGGTGTTCGCAGGACACGAGGACCTGGAGCATTGGCGGATCGTCTTCTGTCTGACAGCGGGCATCCACGCGGCGGGCGCGCTCGTGTTCATCATCTTCGCGTCTGCCGAGGAGCAGTGGTGGAACCGCTACCCCTCACGGGAGGCGGCAGAGCTTGCTGCCAAACAAACTGAATTGAAAAAGGAGCGCTACTAGAGGGTGATCACCCTGCTGTGATAGCATCTTTAATATGGACTGTAGCTTCGCGGACACATCTATAATAAATGCAACATCAGCGGTGGCGACACCTATAAAGCCGTTCGTGGCGACTTCGTGCCGCGTTTATGTGACGGCCGGGAGCGGCGCAACTAGGTGGCAAGGACCAGCCGCCCCCCGTCCATTTTGTAGACGGTAAAAGCATAACAATGTGTTCCCTTGAAATTTTGGGGACCCACCAAGTCGGCATACAAACTGAGACAGAACGTTTTATCGAATCAAAAGACATGCAGGAGATAGTATCTGTCCGTAAAATGCCTCACAGAGCCAATGTCAGACCATTTTGGTCTCAGGAGGCCCCAGATGACACAAAGGAGGTCCACCAGATCACGGGAGGCGCCGTGAAAAACACGAAGCACCGCTAGCCAACGATTAGGTCCCGATGAGGAGTCCTGACGCGCCACCAGCCCAAGAGAAGCAGCCCCACGGAAGGCCCTTTAACATGGATATGTTGAAAGAAAAGTAAAACATAACTAATCTGAAATCTAGTGGAAACCACTTTGCTAAAGGTTAGAACATGAAACCAACAATTCTGCTTCGGGGTCCGTAGGTCTCCTCACCTTGGCGTATCTCCTGATGCCAATTGAAGGCGCATCTCCTGATGCCTTGCTGTTTGACATCGTGCAACTGACGAATACCAGTAACTGTAATAAGGGTGTCAGAACCAGGATGAGACCGCCGAGACAGAGCAGTTGCCTCTGCCCGGCTTGGACAACCCAGCATGAGCACTGCAGCTGCGATGGGAAATGTGGCGGACATTATGTGTCGTTCGACGCTGAAAATGAATTCATAAGACATTTAAGCCGTCCCTTTTTACACTTTTCGTCAGTTTCCGCGCCCCTGATGATTCAAGATTAAACGGGTCTTAATGTACCTTGGTGACATCTATGTTCCTTGTTTCATGTTAAGGTCAATGTCAGAGCAGATCTGTGTTAGAATGAATGTGTGGAAATATATATTTTCCGAAATCAGATACCACTTCAGGCATGCTGTGTGCAGAGGCCTTAACGCCACATGCTGCGATTGATAATACGTTGAGAGGAAATTTCTTCAAGTGAAGTCCAAACGCAACATTGCCGCAAATATTCCCAGTGAGTGAATGAAAGACACCGTCAGCCATAGACCATTGCCTGCCAAACTCCCAATGTCGCAGGACCATCAGTAATCTTGAGAAAGTTATAAAATCTGTGATGCACTTTTCGGCCGCTAAAAAACTTTCATGGATCGTCATACAGAATGTGCTTGTAAGCCTGTCTACGTAGATGATATCTGACTAGATGTATTTTGACTCACTGTGATCATTCATTAGCATCGTCTTGCCAGATGAGGATAATTGAGATCTGGTCCGTTTCAATCACTGGTTTTCACTCGCGGGCCAGAAAACCAGTCTGTTGTGTTGGCCATAACAGGCCAACAAACTATTGCTGCAATTTGTGAGCAGGCCATATCCGCTTGGTAAATGCTTAACTGTTTACAGGGTTTTTAGACAATTGCGCCTTTTGCTTCTTAACCCTGCATACAGCCACCATCAGTGACTGGAACACTAGTACCACCCACTAGACGGACATATATTTTTGCCGACCCTGAAGCTTTAGAACGTCCTGGCAAGCCACGTTGAGCCTACCGCGTACGGTCAGCGGCTACGGTTTGGCCAGGACGACTGGCCGTAGCCCATGGCATGCATAATGCTCGACGGAAGGCCCAGGCTATAAACAGATCGGGTGCGCTCTGCAGAGGTGATTAAGTATTTGCTGTCACCGATTCAATTTGGAACAGCCTAAATTGACACCTGAAGCCAAATCTTTCAGAAGCCGTCACAATTTATCTATAAATGCGTACAACCACACGCAACAAAAGGTAAATAAAGCGCGATGATTGACAAACACCCAGATAGTTTTATTTCAGACCCGGAATGACAAGTAATAAGCCCATGCACTATGTCACAACAAACTGCGGCAAACCCAGTGATGGAAAAAGAGTTTTTACAGGGTTTAATCCATCCATAAAACACAGGTTCCATTGCTTTGCTAGCAGTTGTACGTCACAGTCATGGCGTGTTTGTGATGAGAGCTTCTTTACACATCATACAAAAGTTATGTCAAAAAGCAGGCAAATGTGCTTGGAAGAAAAATGAGTTCCAGGAAAAGATAGACCAAGGTGGTACAAGTCTAATGGTAGCATCATTTTTGTTATGGGAGTGCTCCGCCCGCACGAAATATTCTAAAAATGGACCCGCCGTCGCGGTCGTTTCGGATACCATGAGTTTTTGGGGTCTTCCTGGCCGTATTCTCAGTAGGCGAGAGAAGCTATGCCTCTTCTCCAAAAGTAACATAATTTTTAGATGACCATGCCAGCATTGCTGCTTGCCTTTTGAGCTGCAGCAATGACACCCTATTTAGGCTTGTTTATTCATATTTAATAACAAAGTTTCACATGTTAGCTTCACATCTCAAATGGGATGGTCTGACTTTTTGTTACTTACCAATATTCAGCTCATATTATAATTGCCATGCAGCTCAGAGTATCCCTGTGTTCAAAAATATAGGGCATATATGCAGTACAGTCATTTGCAAGCCAGCAAACCATGACAACTATAGAAAACGTCTGGTTAAAGCAACCATGAGGGACCACTTCAAGAAATTTGGGGCAGTTCATCAAGAATATGGAATAAAATAAGCCCGTTCCATGCCTTGTGGCATCATAATTTATCTAAAACTCGATGCATTAAAACGGAAAATGGCTAACTCTGGCTAACGATCATGTGTTGAAAGAGTTCTTACAGGGTTTAATCCATAAAAAACTCGTTCCATGGCTTTGCTGGCAGTTGTACACTCATTTGCATGTTACAAACGGCGTTCCCTGAAGTTGAGAGCTGTTACGTTTCATGTCACACCTCTGGCGTGTTTGTGATGAGAGCTTCTTTACACTTCTAATCTACACAGCTAATTCAGTGTTTGTAATGAGAGTTTATACCTCTCCATGGTGCCTAAAACTCAGATTTTACACTCGGCGCCTGGCAAGTTTGAAAACCACAATCCAGAACCACCGACAAGAAATCCAACACTGGGTAGCATGGATAACTGGATAACTGGGTCGCTGGATAACAAGTTCACGTATAGCTATTGGTGCATTTTTAAGTGGAAAAGACTACCTTAGACGGCAGCAAATCTTTGTATAGTAAATATGCTCTAAAATGCGTCATGGTTTGATTACGCCGTTGCACCTCGCACAACATTGATTGAGAGCCAATTGACGGCCGTCATATCCGGTAATCGTACTCAGGAACGGCAAATATAAACTCCTCGACACTACCTTGTATGACCTTATTCGCTGCGTGGCTTACGGAATGACAGGATTTAAACACAGTTATTATGACGTGAACGTCATATTTAGAATGGAGTCGGCCGTGCCTACAGTGAATCGACTCAGATAAAAGCGTATGCAACAGCGTTTATTACTAGCAGCTCACACAAGTACAAGATACGAAGGTCAGCCACACATGACTGGATTGGAGTGAAAACAAAGACCTATTTCAAAGCACTGTGCATTTACAAAAATTATCTCAAAAAGCAGGAAACGGTATTTGGGAGAAAAATGAGCTCCAGGACCAAATAGACCAAGGTGGTACAAGTCTAATGGTAGCATCATTTTTGTTATGGGAATGCCCCGCCCGCACGAAATATTCTAAAAATTGACCGGCCGTCGCGGTCGTCTCGAATACCATGAGTTTTTTTCGGGTTTTCCTGGCCGTATTCTCAGTAGGACAGAGAAGCTGTGCCTTAGGCCGTGCGGGGCTGGGGTCACGTGCGGGGCCACATAGCAGTGCCTGGAAAGGGTTATCTCGACCAAATCCGGCCGGCTGTGGCTCCACTGGTGCCCAGACCACTTTCAGGCAGCGCGCCTCGGCAGTCGGCACACGAACGGCAGAGGCTCCTCGCACGACGCGACACTCGCCACGGCCGACGGCACGGCCATCTTGGCGCAGTTGGCGGTCGGGCTTGGCCCCAGGTGGGCGCCGGACGCGTCCCACTCGAGGTACCATGCCCTCCTGTCCAAAGCCTGCCAGCTGCCGTCGGTGACCTCGTCGTACACGCCGACCCAGACGTGGCCGGTGGTGCCCGTGTGTGCGGCGTGCGCGGCCAGGATGGTGTGTACGCCCTCCTCGGTCGGCTGACCCAGGCGGGACCCCTTCGCCAGCTGGCGGCAGTGCTGGTCGGCCGCGTGGAAGGCCAGCGGTGCCGTGACCAGCATGTAGCAGCGGGCGTCGAGATCCAGCCAGTCGGGCGGACAGCCCGACAGGTGTCCACGGGGCAGACGAAACTCGCATACCGCACGAAGGGTAGAGCCAGAACAGTCGCCATGCGAGAGGTCAGAAGAGATGTGTAGGTGCCGCAAATGCATGCAGTCGCCGCCACCACTTGCGGCCAGTACAGGTATGGGAGTTTGAAAGAGCGTTTCGTCTGGATTTATCCAATCCGTCGTGGTTGATGATCGTTTTGGTCCCACCCATTCCGCTACAGTCGGCCGACTGGAGTGGTACAGTAGAAATTTCAGTTCCACCTCGTCACACTGGCTCCCACCAGACTGCGGTACCAGGTTTTGTCTCCTTGGCTTTCTAATGAAACCCGGTGGATACAAAATCGTACTGGTCAACATTTCTCAAGCGACCTTCGGTCGGAACACGACAGCAACATGCCTGGCAACTGAACATACAGGCAAAGCTTCAACACAGAATACTCAGGGCTATAAAGGGACAAGCTTAAATATCCCAGCTTAGTCGAAATGTGCGATTGATAGACAGATAGATAGATAGATAGATAGATAGATAGATAGGTAAATATAGATATACATATATATATATATATATATATATATATATATATATATATATATATATACATATATGTATGTATATATACATATACGTATGTATATATACATACATGTATATATATATACATATATACATATACATATATATATGTATATATATACATATATATATATACATACATACATATATATATATATATATATATATATATATATATACATATATGTAAAAACACCCAATACTACGCATGGCCAGTAGGCACGTAATGCATTTCTCCGGCACAACAGCTCGCAACGCCAGCCAAACAGCAGCACGTGTCACATAAAGCGTCAGACATGTAGCGTGCCGAATGGCGCTGAAAAAAGCACGGTTCCAGGAGACAGGCGATAAGGGTTAAATCCCTCCGAAGCCCGAGCAAGACAAACCCCTATGGAAATTGTCTCCGTCTCGTCGAGTGATGCCTTCTGGCCACTAGCGGCTGTCTTCTTACTGATATGGAAACCAATACTAAGTTCAGCGCAATTATGTATGATACCATTGCTGTCCATGACTCCACAGCAAACGCGTTTATCGTTGAAAAATGGAAGAATGACTGAGCAAGAAAATACTTGCAGTCTGTACGGGTAGCTCTAGGGCAGTTTTATCCTCATTTTTTCTGTCTCTCACCCTGGTAGTCAAGTAAGCAGGGTTTTCACCTCTGCAAAGTTGAACGCTCGCATGACTCTTTCAAGTTATCTGGCTCTCTGCTACTGACAGCTCTGAACTATGCGGCCTGAAGATGAGCCGTATTGCCCTCCGGAAGTCAAGTGCTTCACAACTTTGAGTTGAAAACATGCCGCACTCAGGGACGTCACCAGGGGGTCACGGATGAAAGCGTCCCCCTTTTTGAAACAGGAGGGGATCGTTCCCTCTTACCAAGAGCGAGATGAAACAAGAACATAAGTAACAAGTATGCAAAACAATACTCCGCTGAAACTGTTGGCATTATTAGCAACTGTGATAAAATAGTGGATATAGTTCCAAAAAAAGACAAATGAATTGGAAATGGCAGACCTATTTGGTAAAAAATGATTGGCTTAGAACTAGTTACGCTTCTAATTACATCTGCGCGCGTACAATATGATGTGGATGGTGTAAATAACGCCAAAGATAGGTTCGCAAGCAGAGTGGTCTTGCGTTCAGGGACGGAGTGGGCACAAACAGAAGGCTGATCCAAACACTGTGCGCTACCGGCATTGCCCAATCGCGCACAGATGTGAGGCGACCACATGTAACCACTGTAATGGGGCCATGGACATTCAGGTTGTTGTCACTTTAAAGCCAATACAGAAAGAAAGACCCATTGATCAGGCTCGCAGATACAAGACAAGGCTGTCGTATAACTAAAGTCATGGAAGTTGAACAGTGGTTGAGACTGGCCAACGTTTAGGCGATTAGGGGTTCTGTCTCATGTATGGCGACAACAGAGGTGAGTCAATGAATTGGGAGATAGGTTGGGTTTGCAGGCAGGATTAAAAACCTTCCCTAATCATATCAAGCTTGAGACGTTTTGGGTGCGCATGACTGGGAGCCTAGAACAACCCCACGGTGGTCAATGCAGTGGATAAATAGCGGTCAAATTTGGTGCGCCATGAGTCTGCCGCATGAGACGTGCTCAGGGGAGTGGCTGGGGTGAAAAGGCTTTTGTCTGTCACCGACGAGATTTTAAACAGCCTTAATAAATTCACCTAGAGCTAAGTCTACTCAACGTCGCCACAATATAGCTATCAATGGAATGAACCACTCAAAACAAAGATAAATCACGAACGATGAGTCATAACCGTGAGAAATGTGTTCGCTCCGGAAGCCTCATTTCCACTTAAGTGTCATCGTCTGGCAACGCTAAAAGCCCCGGTGCTCAGGGCGCAGGTCTTAGCGCATAAGTGGCCGGCGTAGCCGACCCGGACTAATGGGCATTTCGGTTCGCTTCAGACGGGCAGCCAGAGTCTTGACAAAGGGGGTGACACCGGGCTGACAAGAGGCCCCGGGTAGTGAAAAGCCCACCCAAAATGGCTTGCTGGGTATCGCCCAGTTGTTAATGAGGCCATTCTTCTTTGATAATTCGTCATTTTTGCTTTTGTGATTTAAAAAGAAGCCAGGGACTACCTCGAGAACAATTCTGCTTGAATTGTATGGTTAATTAACTGAAGAAGTCGTGTTTCAAGCGACTGCATGAAATAACAGCCCGCGTTCTTCATTGCACAATAGCCCGATGGATTCTTTCTAAGCCGATGAGACGCAGAACCATAATCAGAATGTGTAGCTGGGCAAAAACCGAAATACATCGCTGTGAATTATCGAACTCATGAGGCGAAATGCGTCTGCTGTTCAAAAAAACACAATGCGATGGAAACATGCAATGCGCTGGTCCTAACCCACTTCTCTGGTCTGGCTCACAAAGAGCTTTCTTTTTCCTGGCCTCACCTTGCTCCTCGCGAATCTCTGATCGTTCTATCTTTATTTGCTCCGTCGTGACCAATCAGCACATTGCATGACATATGTTAAGGAAATTATCCCGATCACGTTGCCGTGACAGTTCATCGCTTCCGGCACACTTTCAGTTGCACATCCATACTGCAAATACGGTCTGAGTAGCTCATGAAAGATAATTTCATAGCACCTGCTCCGCCCGCGAATCACTCGCACAACGCACAATAAGTGCTTTGATTGCACAAAATCAAGGAGGCAATAGTCTTTGCAGAGGAGGAACGCGCGAGGACCGAGGAACATCTCCTGATGACTTGATGCGCATCTCCTGATGCCAACTGACTGATCATCTCAGCAAATCTCTCCAAGCGAAGTCCATACGCAACACTGTCGCAAATATTCCCAGTGAGTGAATGAGAGACACCGTCAGCCATAGACCATTGCCTGCCAAACTCCCAATGTCGCAGGACCATCACTAATCGTGAGAAAGTTATAAAATCTGCGATACCCTTTTCGACCCCTAAATAATTCCCATGAATCGTCACACTGAATGTGCGTGCAAACCTATACACGTAGATGATCTCTGACTTATTATATTTTGACTCAGTGTGATCATTCATTGGCATCGTTTTGTCAGATGAGGATAATTAAGATCTGGTCCGTTTAAATCATTGGTTTTCACTCGTCATCTGACGTCTTTCGTTTGGCTCGTGTTTGTAGGCCAGCAAACCGGTCTGTTGTGTTGGCCATTACAGGCCAATAAACTGTCGCTGCAATTTGTGAGCAAGCCATATTCCCTTGGTAAATTCTCAACTGCTAACAGGGTTTTAGACAATTGCGCCTTTTGTTGCGTAACCCTGCATGCAGCCACTACCAGCGACTGGAAAGCTAGTGCAACAGACTGGGCGGACATATATTTTTGCCGACCCTGAAGCTTTAGAACGTCCTGGCAAGCCACGCTGAGCCTACCGCGTACGGTCAGCGGCTACGGTGTGGCCAACTACTGGCCATAGCTCATGGCATGTATAATGCTCGACGGAAGGCATAGGTTATAAACAGATCGGGTGCGTTCTGCAGGGGTGATTAAGTATTTCCTGTCACCGATTCCATTCGCAACGGCCTAAGCTGACACCTAAACTGACACAAACATGAATGACCGGCGTAGCGGGCTGGTTAGCACATCAGTTCACTTTAAACCTAACATGTCACATGTACGGAGAAAGACGATGATATGTTTTCTCAGCGGCCGTATGAAGACCCTAAATGACAAATAACAACCCCATGCACTATTTCACACAAAAAACTAAGGCAAACCCAGTGTTGGAAAAAGAGTTTTTACAGGGATTAATCCATCCATAAAAAACACGTTCCATCGCTTTGCTAGCAGTTGTGCACTCATTTCCATTTTACAAACAGCGTTCCCTTAAGTTGAGAGCTGCTACGTTTTTTTCACGTCACAGCTATGGCGCGTTTGTGATGAGAGCTTCTTTACACATCTATTCCACACAGCTAATTCAGTGTTTATAATGAGAGTTCATACCTCTCCATGATGCCTAAAACTCAGATTTTACAATCGGCGCCTGGCAAATTTGAAAACCACAATCAAGAACCGCCAACCAGAAATCCAACACGGGGTAGCATGGATAACTGTATAACTGGGTCACTGGATAACAAGCTCACCTATAACTATTGGTATACTTTTGAAATGGAGAAGACTGCCCTAGACAGTACAAATCTCTGTTAAGTAAATATGCTCTGAAATGCGTCATGGTTTGATTACGTCGTCGCATCTCGCACAACATTGATTGAGAGTCAATTGACGACCGTCATATCTGGTAATCGTACTTACGAACGGCAGATATAAGCTCCTCGACATAACATTGCATGGCCTTTTCCGCTGCGTGACTTCCGGAATGGCAGGATAGAATGCAGTTACTATGACGTTGTGAATGTCGAGGTAACTTCAAAATACCCTCTCCGAAACGCTTCCCCCGTTTTCGCAGGTGTTTGGCTCAGAAACTACAGAGCCTAATGTAAAAAAGGCATAGATGTGAACAGCACCGACAGGTTTTCAAGATGGCTATTTCAGTACAAACCCGATGGAAATGTGTAACACTCCCTTCAGGAGCCTTTGTCACACGCCACTTACACGATAAAATATGGGCGTACGTCCAAATTACCACGCGAAGCTGAGTGGGGTCGGCGGGTGGGGACGAGGTCAGCGAATCCTCGCCCTACTCTGCTTTTTGTGAATGTACCTAAAACAAATCAACAAATCAGTCTAAAAGCTTGTTTAGCCAGCCAGTGACATACAGACCTTTGCTCAAACCTCGTTTGAAGCCAAGAACAGCAAGATCGGCCAGATGATCTCAAAATTACAGGGTGGCGACGTCAATGATAGCGTCAGAGCCCGAAAATCGCAGCTGATGCGCTTTTAGCATATTTGCAGCAAGAGAAAGCTCCTGGCAACGTCAACGATTGTTTTGGAAAACACGACAATGCCAGAGCCATGCTGGGTTACTGAGGCCAGTTTAGGTCGAGTTTAGGCCTCGCAGTTTTCCCTTTGGATCGCACTTTCCATGACCCAAGTCACAACCCGTTTATTTGTGTGTGACCTCCGGGTCAAACGGTAAATAATGCAAAGTAATTGTAACGTGAGTATTGTGACCGTATTGCTGTATTATACCTAACTGCATTTTAACGCGGGCTCAGCCCTTCACACCTTGGAGAATTGGCCTAGGATCATGAATGCTTTACATGACATAGTTCCTTGCTGTACCGACACGCATTGCTGTCATTAACCAATACTGCTGCCACCGTCTTAGGTCCCACTGTTATGGTGTCACACAGTGAACAAAAAATAGAAAGATAGCATCATTGGTGATGTGGTACATTCTTCAAGAATGAAAAGCTGCTCTCTGGATCAATTTTTGCCGTTCCAAAAAGGGTAAATGGAGATCTCATTTGGCTCAGACCAAATTCAGCCCACCTACTCGCCAAGTACACCATGTCACTAGTGGGTGGACCCGGGCGAACAGACGTACATGCACTGTAGCGCACCTGCAGCGGGCGGTAAAGCCTCAGCTGCGGGGTTAACTGCCGCTTAAAACAGCTGCTGGTCCAACTCCGCTGCTGCAGGAAACTCGGGCCCTGGCAACACTGGTGACACACGCTCGTGGGCGCGTTGTTGCAGCGCGAGCCACGACCCTCCACAAAGAGCTGTCAGCTAACAGCTGCCGCGACTGTGGCTTTTGGTGACCGCGATTCTGGGGCTGCTGTTCTCTTTGAGCTCGGACGGAGGGAGCATTGCTCGCAGCGCCGGACTTCAGCAGTGTGAAGGGATGGCGCCAACCTCAGCGCGGACACCACTTTTGAAGCGGTGAGAGGCAGCTATGATTTCGTTACTCTGCGTCGCTTTCTGGCGGGTGTTACTTAAGAGAGGGATGTTCATGCTGCATGGTGCAATACCAGGGGCGCCACTTTGTGCACCTTCGGGGCCTGAGCCGCCCCCCCCCCCCTCCCCTCCAACCCGATGCTGACTTAAGCCCCACCTACCCCAGCCCTGGCTGATTAGGAAAAAGGTGTAGTGGACCACGGAAATGCTTTTGATATCCCGCGGTGTCGGAGTACTAAGTAACTAAGGACATTACTGTTAATTTCATGCTAATTTTGTGCCACGCAAAAACGTGTGGACACCATATATATTCGTGTCAGGCCAACCCCTTGAAATGTTGACCAGTCCGAAAATACTGGCTTATTCACGAGATGTCACCTGTAGCTGGACAACAAAAAATGCGATATGCGAGAGCTTTAGGCATAAGATTTCATGATAAGGGAGTTTTACAAGGTTGAAAAATTGCTTACCACGAACATCACAGTCCAACAACAAAGCATGAACATCACGCCTATCCCAGTGATTCAGACTATCACGTCCCGTCACCCACATCAGCGGTTTTGTGCGGAGGTCTTGCCGGTTCGGTTTCACGTTTATGTGCAAGTATCTCCTGGGTTTGCAGAGGATGCATTTTTCATAGAATCTCCACGGAAAATATACGTTTGCGCCGGGACAGCCTTCCGTGAACAAGAGAGTAGACCTGTTGCCGGTGACTATATCGTGTCATTTTGATGAAGCGTTTTTTGTAAATCATACGAAATGCTTAACAGTCCACAAAGCCAAAATTTGACATGAGCTTGAAAGGGGAAGTCATTCTTCCGTGACGATTGTATCACGCGATGGCAATTCCTTGACATCAGAAACGCAAATTTAAGCTGACAAAATTAAGAGATAAATGAGGTCTGGGATAGATTAGGTCAACCGTATTGGCTGCCCCCCCCCCCTCCGCTCACCATCTTATTTTAAAGAAGTGGCACTCCTGTGCAATGCCTACCTAGTAGCACTAGTCAGTACATACGGTGGCACCGTATTCAGGTAAATGGAAAGTTTAAGGTCGTCTGAACACTAGGAGTTCTATAACAATTAGTCCATTTGTCATGATGCGTTGTAAATAATGGATCCAAAATGCTTTTCGATAACCCAACATTTGTGTTAAGTGTTTTGTTCATTAACGGTAACTGTAAGACCCCTTCGTTTGGAAATACATACAAACAGGTATAATTAGTCCAGGCAGCACAGCTTTTAAGGAACATCGCGACTTGTGACGAAAAATTTCATGAACCAATGACTCACATTCGACCAGTGAGTGTAAATATATACACCTTGAGGCGTGACGAGCCGGGCCGAGCTCAGCCGGGTCGGGCCGGGCCGAGCTGCTTAAGACGCACAACTCCCTTCTAGTCGATGGACACTTAAATCATTTCTGACTTGTCAGCCCAAAACATAGGGCAGAATAATGTATAGTGTGCTTTTATGTCCCGTTTTTTTGCATCCAGATCGATGGCAAATATAACGTTATGCCAAATTGGGCCGCTACCGTAATGACGGGGAAGAGTTGTGACGTCAATGAAGCACAGTAACAATGTGGATACCGCCCGATCCCACCGGCCGTTGGAAGCTCGTGAAGTACGCGGCGCACGTTAAGCGTAATATAAGCTTAAGCTTGTATAAAGGCGTAAAACGTAAAAGACGTAAAAGCATAAGGTTGAAATATGCTTTAAGAAAACAGAAGCATTTCAAAATATGAGCTTGTATATTGCGTTGTGCTCGTGTACGATATCGGCAAGCTGATTTCAAATGATTTTATTTAATTGCCACCATGTGGCCGTCATACCTGTATGAGTCATTTGGCTATGACTGATTTGCTCGGCATTGGCTTTCACCAACACGACAGTAAGCTGTTAAAGCTAAAAAGCATCCGACTTTACGCACGCTAGTGGCTTTTATCTTCCCGAAAGAACCGATCAGTTCATCCAGAATTCACCTTGTACACACGTGTCATCATTATCTCTATGCACTACGATAGTCGCTCTAATTCCTCCGACAGAGCCGTTGTCTCCATCTAGCACCAACCATTCATCCACGTATTAACCATTTTTGGACATCTGATAACGTTTAATGAACCCACATCAGATGATGTGTTAGGGTATGCCTAAGTGAATGCTTTATCTGCGGCGATGCTGATGCTAAAATCTTGATATTAGCTGGTTTCACGGTGGGTCGGGTCAAATAATAAGATTTTGAACTAAAAAAAGACAATATTTGACGCTAAGTACAGACTGAGCACTTTGACGAGGGAAAGATTGCTTTCATGAAACTCCATTAACACGCAACAGGTAAACGACATACAGCCAGCTAAAAGTAAGTTTGTTATATTAAACCAGACCCTTTAAAGACATTTTCAGCCCATGCCCCCAGTTTGCACAAATAGGCCTGGCCTGGCCTCGCAATCAGTAATATGCATCGGTCGAGCGCGCTGGATGCCGGCTGCCTCACCATTGCTCACATCGGTGCAGTGAGTGGCAATGCCGGCTTTGAGGATCATTTTTTCCCAGGATCATTCATCTTGGGCTATGTTAGGGTAAGTAAGCCCTGTAAGCTCTGCAATTGCTGTGAGCAAGCTCTGTAAGCACTGTAAGTCAGATCTGCAAATAATGAATAACTATAAACAGGAACTGTACAAGGACATAAGAGTTTGTTTTGTCACGTCTGAGTCAGAGATGCCACCAAATGTTTCTAACAATTTTGGAAAAAATTTGGTACTAAGAGATCTGGCAGAATACCTGTTCATGGAACCATGATTTAGAATAAAGCCAGCTACCCCAATTTTATCAGATTATGGATTTTTAATGAATATGTCTTTTAATCTCTGCGAAACATTTCTAACCGGAATCGCTGATAAAGGTGTGTGGTTAGAAAACAAACGCCAATTTTTTGTTAAAGTTTTTAAAAAAAAAATTGTTCCATAATCCTTCGTGGAAACGACCGTTGACTTGGACTGCGCGCTATACTTTCTTTTTAGTGCAAGTACCGCTCACAAACGTATCCAATTGCAGTGGAATTAAAAGAAATCTTGCCGCGTGCACGCGCAAACTGACAGCATGCAGCATGTATTTTCCTATACAGAAGAGCGACCATCGTCTTGAAACCAGACGTCGTGCGATGTCATACAATGCAAACGCACTAAGCCTGTGGATTTCACAGTTGTTCAGGGAATGCCTTTTTCCTGCCAACCCGAGAGCTTATCGAGTTCAGCTTGACAACCGCACCGCAGGGTCAGGGTGCCAGAAATAAACGAAGTGTGGATGTTGTAGGTGTCCTGCAACCCACGTCGTGTGTCCCAACGGCGCACGTGAGAGTAGGTCAAGCCTGTTGAAAAAGCTGATAAAGCCTGAATTGCATTTGGATGATTCTATTACCCAGTCTGTCACCCACTGGTTGCGCTAGCGGGGCAGGACGAGAAGCCATCAGCCCCTATTTGCATGTAAGTAAGGACCATTTTCTGCACAGTTTTGGGGATCTGTGCAACCACAGGTCCCGATGAGCACACTTTGCTCCTTCTGTTTTAAATCACAATTCCATCTATGGCCCATTTTGTTTGCTGTTGCTGTTCATATAACTGGCTGGCCCATAAATCATTTGGTGTTCATCCCCCATTCAGATGAACGAGCCGGGTGTGGCTGATATGGTGGGATAATCACGGGTGTGAGGGCACGGCGCTCATGACATTGCTCTTCGTCGCCGCCGTCGTGGTCGTTATTGGTGTTTTACTAAGTCCGACAGGATGGGCACCGCCGGGAATCAAGCCCGAACCTCTTGTTTCCCACATGTTCAGCTTAGCTGCTACATTTTCGGCACTCATATGGATCCTCGTTTGTTGTTAACGTGGTCATTGCCAAAGTTGGCACACTTTTCTGGGGCATCCAGTGTAATTGCATTTCTCATGATACCGTGAAGGCGATAGGCGTAAAGGTTTTGATGCATGACGTGATTCTTGTTCCAATGACAATGACGTTTTTCGCAATCGTTCTTAAATATTTCGCCCTATACCGTTAAAACATCTGAGAACCACTGCATTACCTCATGAAAAACTGTGCTTAATACGTGTTAAGTTGCTGAAATATCCTTGGTTTCATTGTCATCCGTGCAACGAAACATACGTATGAGAATATCTACGACAAAAGGCATGCACCACGCTGATAATCATTGGCTTGAGAGTGCGGTGAACTGTTCAAAAAACCTCTTGCCCGTGGAGGGCTGTAAACGAAACTCTGTCTTTGGTCAGGGCTTTTACGCTAGCCAAGTTCCGGTACGCTTCGCAGTGCCCGTTCCACGAGTCGTCAGCAAAGGCTCCCTCGTAAACGGCGCAGGTTGACATCCCCAGTCGAAATCAAACAACGCTTCGCGCCCGTCGCTTCCCAAAGTCCCACATGTGTGGGAGTGCAGCACCCACTAAATCCTCCCACGTTCGGCAGGTGTGCGCGGACACTTACACGGCCGTCGCGGGCCTGCTGAGACCTCACGTCTGCCGCCGTATTCCCCGCCCAGGTGTTCGGTGCGGCGTTAACCAAGATAAGGGGTGGTGGGCTGTTTGCGTGCGGCCTGCCCGCGTCCAGTGATCAGAGAGCTCTAGTGAGGAGAACCAAAGGAAAACCGGACGTCACGGAGCGTCCAAGTAGCGCGCGTTCGGGAACATAGTCACAGGAACCAACATTGGAATACAACGGCACAAAGTGTTCCTTGACTGGAGCTGCTCTCCGATGTTGCCGGCTCAGGGCCTTGGCAGCAAGGAAATTTTAGCTGCTGCACTGATACTGAAGTCATTCATTTGTGGCATTCAACCCATTTCTTTATCATGTATTTGTCGCTAGAGCATTGTGAGCCGACGGGAAGATTCGTCAGGCGAGATAAGTTTCGCTTTTGCGCATGCGCAATCGGTGCCAGTCTGTATACTTGCAGATATCCGGCATTGTTGCTTAGCCGGATTATATGATGTTTATTGATATCAGCTTATCTGATTAATATATTATAGGATGTATTTTAGGCTTAGGATATGTTTCTTCATGCACATTGTCATCTGGGTCCATGGACTTATGTCCATCACGGGTGTGTAGACAGGGATGCGCACCCAGAATATACGACGGAGGTGAGGCTACCGTGATTTGAGACGAACGGGAACTTTTACTTGCGATTGCTAGACCCACTGACAGTGTCCACACATAACGAGCACACTGAGAGGCCCCACAATCGCTTATAAGTACAGCGCCTAGCGTATCAGGGAGGTATCGATGTTGGTTTGTCCTAGTGCCTGAAACCATTGTTTCAGCTGCGTACCGTATACATCTTCTCGGCTATTGCTGGCCTTATTGCTGACGACCGTGAACCCGCTGGTAACGACCGACCTATTGCCTCTCCTGGTTGGGTCTGCTGTGGGAGCTCACGGCATGGGGTGGTGATGCCGACGCCCTCAATACACTAAACTACGTGAAAACTGTTCATGATAGCTTTCCCCGTGCGAGAGAGCTCCTGAACTCGGTAAACGAAGCTGTCTCTGAAATTCTGTTGCGATGCCTACATTAAAGGCACGAAATGAAGAAGACAAAATGAAGACAATGCTTGTTATTGTTGTTGCTTTTTCCGTGCGTGCATGAAAGGATCTAGCCACTTTTGCGTTTTGACAAACACTTTCTTTTGCCGACTGTCTGCGTACCACCTACAGTGCTGTCCGCGGATAATTTCTGTGCCGGACTTCTCGTATGGCTGTGCATACTGGAGTCGTGAGCGACACAGAAAGGTGGAACGAAATTGCCGAAGGACTCTCTAGATAGAGGTGGTGTGCAATCAAGCTGTGGGGGACCCGCGGCCTAAATAAATCAGATTCCTAAAAGAGCATTGCTTATAAAGAGGGCTTGGTTATGATGGACACAATCGACACGTTGGTCACGCCAAATGCTTTACACAGAACAAGGAATGAAACCATTTAAATAACGGGTTGTCCGGGAACGTTCTCCCAAGCACATGTATTCAAAAAGTCTCGGCAAATGCCATTTTTTCAAGAGCTTCCAAGAGGGGCTTCAGCCAAGATTAGGGGCAATAGCAAGAGCGGTGCTACCAAGCTTCGATATGGGGAGGGGGCAGGGGGAGAACGAGTTGATAAAATCATCATAACAAGCCTTAAATGACAAATGAAATCGGTCGTCTCAGTCGTTCGGAGCAATCAGTCGTTTAATCGATGACGTTCTCATTGCCGATCACTGCTACGCAAATTCTTCCCGTGCCTTGCGCTGCACCACCGTAGGGGAAGGGGATGCGGGAATCACGGGTGGGGTCAGAGGTTCAGACCCACGACTTTCTGAAAATGTGGCATTGGCGCTGTGGGCATTGACTGGAAATAAATAATCCAAGCGGCTATCATCCGATTTCTCTCCCAACGCGAGTGGAAGTCCGTTGTCCCGTGTCGGCGGACGTTTTTGTGATCGCAATTTAGCAGTTTCTCCTTAGCACGGCGCCGACAAGGAGACAGTAGGGAGACAACTGGGTCCAATTAAAAGTATGTGTGCACCAGTTTCAGATCGATCTCGCCCGCCGGGGCTTTGCAGGAAAATGAAAGCACAGAAGCCCTCGACGACTTAGAACAGGAGCAAAACGACAAATGTGAGTAACATGAATGGAGCCTTCGAATACGGGGAGGCCAAGCATACGAGGGCTCGGCGACCATGTAGTCAGCATTCAGTATACATTTAACACGAACACCATATGTTTACCTCTAATGTCCGCCTGGCTGTTTGGGAGAGTCGCCAGCAAAACTCATAGCATCGCTGGTTAGATCGATAAGTGAATATGTGAAGCCTCATAAGACCTTACTGGTAGCATTATTCGTCATCGAATAAACAGACGAAAGGAAAGAGCGATGCATTGATATGTCGGTTACATGCCTTTGTCAAAACGATTGAGAGTAAACTTAAGCCTGCCTGCCGATCCTACTCGATTTTTAATTTTGTTGTTGTTTGCAACCGCGAGCCCCAAGTTTTGGAGGTCACCAACATTCAGGAAACTAAGGTAGAAGCAAGTGTCAGCGGTTATAACGAGGGTGTGCTTAACAAACAATTAAAAATATGTGAAAAGTTTATGGTTACGCAAACGTACTCAGGTAAACAGGCATCATGCATCACGCGCTATACACACATGCAAGAGATGACCAGCAAACAGGCATCACGCATCATTCAAACATGCAAACGATTTCCAATAAACAGGCATCACGCGTCACGCATCAGGTGTCACTCTTGGATGGAAACGATTTCAACCTAGCACGCATCACGCATTAAGGATTTGCCTCGCTGTTTCGACGGGAAAAATTAGAGATTGAGAGGGATTGGCAGGAAATTTTGAATGGGCTGCGCACAATCGTTTTGACAAATGCATGAGGGCGAAATATTGAGGCGTCTATTTCTCCTTTCTCCTGGTTACTCGGCGAGGAATGATGCTAGCAGTACTGTGTTATGTAGGTGTAATGTTCCGCTCAAATGTTCTTCACAACTTTAGTGGTTTTGAAGACTCGGGACGCGGCAACGCACACATGGCTATTCCTTCAACACCCGAACGGTCTACCTTGTGCGGCTTTAACCAGTCTGTGGATGGCATGTTCTAGATGCTGAAGTCGTCCATGGATGCAACATGCGCAAGTGCTTTGCTCACAGTTCCTCAGGACAATAACACTCTTTGAGGAGGCTCTGCTCAACTCCTACGTAACTTTTTTCAGCTGTCATGCGGTGCTTGCGTTAGTGCGCAATGTGCTTTCGGTATCCTCAGCATACCAATTTGGTCGTGTCATCTTCAGGAGACGTGGCAAGCGTTCCACATAAAATTGCCGGCCAGTTAGATGTTCTCCAAGGTGTGTTCACATTTAATCTCTGATGTCTACGGCGTTGTAGCCTGATGTACACTTCCTCTGTGCCAAGTTCTAGCAGCTTTATACGATGAGGTGTATCAATCGGATGGGCTATCTTGTTATCGATTATCATTGGCGACATTTAAACGCTACGATTGTGGCTGGCTGTTGGTTTCAATCAACTGTAGAGTATGTAATTACATATATACGCAATTCGCGTGCAACATTTCCTTTCGGTTCAGGTTGTAATGCCATTTTTGAGCGCGGCTTCGGAAGGGTGGCATCGGCTTCTTCCCGGCTTATTTTAAGATTGGGTCGAACAGAGTTGAAATCACATGGTAAGTTGCAGATGACACGCTCGTCAAACCTTGTGGCTGATTTTACGTCTCTACCAGCTTTTTCTTGTTTTATTTTTTACATTTTCCCAGCCAGACTCGCATATCTTTCATCCGCCACTTGCACCACGTATTTCCGAATGTAATGGGTATATCAGCATTTGGCCCGATGTCAAGAGGGTATCGAGGCAAAAACTTGACACCAACCACACTGTTACACTCTGCTCAATATACAATTTCTCAGTTATGTGTTTATTAACCCCATTAACAATGTTCATAACCGACATCGACTCAAAATGATGTGGTATGGTATATTTTTTATGATGGTTTAGTTGTATAAATGGTAATGGTCGGTTTCTCGTTTCGTCGTGGTTGCAATATCAATATGCAAACAATGCGAAAAATAAAGGAAAATGTGATGGATATGAGTGGGCCCTTGGCACTCCTAGAACTTTTTTCTGGGAGAAATGTTGCTTTGGATCTCGAGCTTTCGACTGCAGCCTAGGCTGTAAGAATCAGCCTAATCTGTCCGACACGTGAAGAGCTTGAAATATGCTCTAAGTCCACATTCCAACTGAGATTCACCGCACGCAGATGCGCTTTAAAAGATGTAGCATACAGAAAATGGCGTGGGTTTTCGGAAGACTTAGAATAGTGTTCCCAGATTTGGAATAGTGTCCCAACTAGATTTTAACTCCAACAAATTCCGAACTCCTGAAATGACAACTCATTTGCGTGTTGTATTTGTTCGTGGCGCTATCTACTGAACCGCTGCAATACTGATTTGTCACTTAGCAAAGAGAAAACTACCAAAGAATATTAAGGGTGGACCGCAAATTTTCACTCCATTTACTCCCAAGAAATTTCGGTAACTCCAATCACTTCAGAGAGTCACCGTTTTGTTGCGTGGTTAAGTGCGAAAAGGATCCCGGAGATCACAGAAAAGAGTGCCGACAGTGTAGTGCTTAACGCGTTGGCATTAACCACTGTGGGTCTGGGGAAACCAGAGGTACGGGGTTCGATTCTCCGCGGTGCCCACCCTTTTTGCCAGGGTGAGAGGCAGGTCGACGCCATACGCACTCAGCATTTAAGTGCATGGTAAAGTCCTAATAGCGAGGACGACCATCGCGGAGCTGGCTAAGCAATCACACTCCTCAGACATCCGTCCGACGCGTGTGATTGCTTTTTAACACATCCGTCATATGCATTCGCATGCATATGGCGCACATGCATCATATGCATTCGCATGCATACGCATTTTTAACATATCCGTCACCCGTGTTTCTGTCATATGCACTTGCTGTCCATTCACAGTTTGTCGTATACATCACTTAAGGCGACTGTTAAGCGTTTTCAATCTTTCGGGACAGACTCCAGTGTTAAGGGAACTTTAAGCCTATCTACGTTATGTTTTGTTCCGATATTTGCAGTCGTTGTGTAAAAGGATATCGATAAATGCTACAGCATATATTATGTGGCATGCCGTGATGGATCTGCACGACGCTTATTGGAGTTTTTAGCCGTCCTGTAACCATGCCGTAATTCTCACGAAATGCCTACCCAATCCAGGCCATTGCCCACTGTCCATCCGATGCAAGTGATCAGACTTACCCAACTCGTCATGACCCTTAGACCAGGAAGCACACCCCGAGGAACGCGTTTATAGAACACACATTTACGCTTAACAGCTGCCAGGTTTCAGGTATGATCATATCAGCTTCCAATTTCTGACCCCAATGCGCGGCGATTTCTTCGGGGGACAGATCTGGCTTTCTCGCACTTCTGACTGAAGGCGGTGGTCACACAGGCGCTGTTTGCGATGGGTATGGAGTCTGGCTTACTCAGCGTTGGTGTGTGACTGGCAAACATCCCAGCGGCCTGGAAATATTCCTCATAGTGATGATACTGGCTCGTACTGTCGCCCTCTGCGCCGCTCTGTGCCTGGCAAGTAATCTCTTGCCCCTCCCGTCCCTGATAGCGCCGGCCTGTAACGCCGCGCTCTGCTCCTGATATGTAATCCCTGACCCCTCCCGCTCTGTCATCGGAAATATGTCCTGCCGAGCGCTGACAGTGTCGGCCTGTAACGCCACCCTCTGCTCCTGACATGTTATCCCTGGCCCCTCCCGCCCCGTCATCGGAAATATCTCCTGCCGAGCACGACAGCGCCGGCCTGTAACGCCGCCCTCTGCTCCTGACATGTTATCCCTGGCCCCTCCCGCTCCGTCATCGGAAATATCTCCTGCCGAGCACTGACAGTGCCGGCCTGTAACGCCACCCTCTGCTCCTGGCAGGTCAGCTCATGCCCTGCCTACCGTGGCGGTACGCCATCGCCGTGGTAGGCCTCTTCGGATTCGCCTCCGGCTACGCCATGCGGGCCAACATGTCCGTCGCCATCGTGAAGATGGTGAAGAACTCGTCATCTTCCGGTGAAGGTCATGGCTCCGCCTGCCCAAGACCCCACACCAACGGCACGGATGAAAGTACGGTACGTTCTACCCCTTCCACCCCTTCCACCCTTTCTACCCAAGACCGGATCTGGCTTAGTGGTGGGCATGCGATCAGGCGAGTTTGTTTCCTTTGTATGCCCATTTTGCAGAAATCGTGTATGACTAGCCATCTGAGAGCAACTCACTTCTTAACCCGAAGGCTACTGAGGTATTTCGTCACCTCTCATCTGCCAGTTGGCACCAGCGGTACATCCAAGGTGACTATGGAGGTCGCAACCGCTTTCTTTGGACCCACACTGGACCAAGCCATGAATGAAAAATGTGGGGCCCAAAAAACTGAGCCAACTAAACAATGCCAATGAAATGTTGTCCAAAACATTTCCCGATGGCGAGACCATGAGAGGACTCCAGAAGCAACAGGTGTTTAAAAAGCACCAGGGCAGAAACAGGATCAGAAACACACGGAGCACAACCAGCAGCTGGAGTACAACGGGCATCATTGCCAGGACATGAAGGTCCTCGAGGACACCAGTGCCCAAAATATTTCATGACTCAATAGTTTCAAGAAATTGTTGGTTTTCCAATAGCATCATGTGCATCAGATGATCAGGAATCTCATAAACATCAGGGTTCCTAGAGTCATCAAGGGACGTCCCATAATGTTGACGTCACAAAGCATGCAGCTACGATTTTCTAACACATAACTGGTCCGGTGAGGGAAACCGTGCATTTACGGTTTCCGTTTTTCCGTTTTGGCACGGATGACAAAACGAGACATAACTCAGGGAACCATATTTGGCATTGTTGGGCATTCATCGCGTAGGGGCTCTGGAGAGACCAGTGGTTCCAATGTGGGAACATGTGGCAGCCCTGGCGGCGCTATACCTGGATGTGTTCAAATTCGATTTCGACGGACTAATTTGGCTGATCCAAATTACCATAGATATCATCGGATTGCACGGCAGACATATACCAATTCATCCGGTCAGCCGACCAGTAATGGTTCACAAATTATGCTTATTTAAAGAATATTTTAGGATTTGTTGTGAGCTGTCAATACCTTTGTGCGTATGTGCGTTATCATGCACACGTTGATAAAACAGTATTTGGCTGAAACGGATAAATCGTGGTGTTCTAAATGACGGATGCGATTTGGACGCATGAAATTCCCGCTAATGCACGCGGTGGCTACCAACAACTCGGATCTATGCCGGTAAACACGATTTTTGACACCACGCACGTATCTGGACGAAGCTTAAAACAAAAAAGCAACAGAACACGCGCAACCAGACGTATCTCGCTGACATCAAAAGTCGTCACTCAGGCAGGCCTCACACACTGACCGCGCGCTTCCGTTCCGGTGCTTCGCAGGGTGACTTCGACTGGGACGAAAACACGCAGGCGCTGGTGCTGAGCAGCTTCTTCTTGGGCTACGCCGTCACCCAGTTCCCAGCAGGACGAATATCAGAGGTGTACGGACCGCGGCTCGTCTTCTTCAGTGGCATATTCCTGTCCGGTAGGTGACGTCAGTGCGGCACGATGTCATGTTATGACGTTAACACGGGAAGGTTGACGTCACACTGTGATTTCGGAGGACAGTGACGTCACGCTGTGACGCTGGAGCGGAACAGCAGACGTCGTGAAGGTACACGGCTGGTTGGCAAAAGCGAGCGAGGATAGGAAGTATCATGATTGAATGCAGCTGATAGATCGTATGTCGGAAGTGGCGTGAGGATCGTCGATTCAGAATTACATAACAACGCCATTACCATGCATTTCGTCCATGTGGTTCTGGTCGGCTCATCGAATAGTTTCGAGTGATTATTAACTGTTTATTTCTGTCTCATCGCCTGAGCTCGTTCGAAGGAAACCAGCTTTCCATCCAGGCTGCATCACCAACGAGGACATGGGGACCGAGGTTTCCACCCCACCACCGTTGTCTTGCCGTCGCGTAAGCCGCCGTATCAACCGCGCCACGTTTCTCGCTGATGTGGGCCACCGCTTTGTCAACACTGCCCTTGTCCGTTTGTGACGAAGATCGCCATGGTCTCATCTCCCGAGCTCGGGCAGTGACCTGTGCTGACCTCCAGCCATCGGGAGCCTGCTGACGCCCATCTGCGCCCACACAAACTTCGGCCTGCTGATCGTCTGCCGCTTCGTCATGGGCCTCGGAGAGGTCAGGACAGTACAGGACAGGTCATGGGCCTGACGCGGTGATCCGGTCCTTGTCGGAGCAGAGTGCACATCGCTGCTCTAGTTTGGCCGTCGAAGCATTCGACAGGCTATTTCGGACGCTCGTTGGGTCATTCTTGGGGAAATGATCATGTTCCGGCCATAGCCGTTGTCTATGCCAGCCTTCGTGAAGGTTACTGTGATAACAAAAGGGAATGCATAGCATTCGAGATAAATAAAAGGCGCATATCATGGACTAGACGTAAGCACATCAAAATGCAGAGCAGTTCTCGCCGAATCCTACCGACCAAGCACCACGTGATCGCATCTGGTGTCGGTGCGCTGCCATTGGTCTACCACCTCGAACCCTCACCGCTGGCTGGTGCCCCAGGCGGTGCTGTACCCGTGCTACCAGGTGGTCGTCAGCAACTGGGCGCCACCCACGGAAAAGAGCCGAATGACTGTCCTAGGCACAACAGGTTAGCGGGCTTGGGGACTGCTACCCGGCGTCCAGCGATTCGCTGAGATGTTTGGGCACTCCTGTTCGGCATGGGGTCTGGGACAGAAGAAGTTCGCCCGTTGCAGCAATGAAGTAAATTGTAATGGGAGACAAATAAGTCTCTATTTTCGCCGTTGCGTGTCCGAGACTCGAAGTCTGCCCAGATTCCAGATCCAAAGTATTCGCCTTTCTCTTCACCTCCGCCTTTCTCACCCGTACACATCACCCATCCACCAAGTCTCTGACCTCTCCGAGGAGTGAGGCATACCACTGGGCAGATATTGCGTGAAACGCGTCGCGTTTTATGTTCAGCTTGCGCCGCGACCAAAACATTTGTCGGATTCGCATTTTCCACAGCTTTATTACGAACCACTCAAAAGTTGTTCGCCCGTTCTAGCCAGCCAAGTGAATTATAATGGGAGACAAATGTGGCTTTCTTCCGTTGCGTGTTCGAGACCCAAACTCCAAACTCCAAACTCCAAACCAAACTCATCCATCAAGTCTCTGAACTTTCTGAGGAGTGGGGCATGGGATTGAGCAGATCTTGTGTAAAATGAGAAATGAGTGAAAATCAAATCTTAAATGTGAAAGTCAAATGTGAAATGAGTCGCGTTTTATTCTCAGCTTGTGACGCGACTTAACATTCATCTGGCTCGCATCTTTCGCAAACTTATTACAAACCACTCCAGCATCGTATCATATGCCCCGTATCACGCCCTTGAAAGCGTCATGTCTCGAGTCCCAGGGCAGGAAACTTGCGAGGAGAGAGTCGGACATGCGTCGCCCATCGGTAACGTGCACTATGAATCAAGTGTCCATCCAGACACCGTCCCTGTTTTGACCCGGCCCCCGCCCCCTGGCGGACAGGCAACACCTGGGGCACTATACTGGGGATGCCGATCTCTGGACTGCTGGCCGGCTCGAGCCTCGGCTGGGAATCCGTCTTCTACTTCTTCGGCTTCAGCAGCATCTTGTGGTGCGTGTTCTGGGCGCTGCTAGTCTACAACTACCCGCATCAGCATCCGCGCATCACGCAGCGCGAGAAGACCCTCATCGAGACCAAGAAGAGAGAGTACAGCGAGGCACTCGGCCAGCAGCACTGCGCGGTGGGTGGCCAGAGAAGCACCAGGGGAAGCCACTGTACAAACGGCATCCGAGCCGGCCGACAGGCCTGCAGCGCACAGCGGTAGGTAGCCTAAATAAGGTGTTGTATGGAACCATTGTCATTTGCACACAGCAGCAGACGACTAGATGGAACTGCAGGACATGGGGTATCGCAGCCGGGCATCAGAAGAGCGCAGAGGCACTCGGCCAGAGGATAACGGTGGACAGAGAGGCTCACGGTCGGGAGCTAGGCAAGGAGCACACGGCAGCAGGCATCCAGGAAAGATTTTTTATGCTTCGCATTTTAGCCCGGCGCCTTGGTAGGGACACATGGAGCTGGCTGATCAGGGGAAGCTTACGTATGCCGTGCGCTCTGTCGCCCGGCTCGGTGCCAGGGGCACGCAGCATTGGATGCCCAGGGAAAGCTGCAGTGCGCTGTGCAGTGGACGCCAGCGGCGCGCTTGGACTAAGGGGGAAGGGGCACTTGACATCCCAGGCCGAGTCCCGGGAGCAAACAGCGTGGTGGTGTGCGGTCACTCCTGACACCACTTGACATCCCAGGCCGAGTCCCGGGAGCAAACAGCATGGTGGTGTGCGGTCACTCCCGACACCACTTGACATCCCAGGCCGAGTCCCGGGAGCAAACAGCATGGTGGTGTGTGGTCACTCCCGACGCCACTTGACATCCCAGGCCGAGTCCCGGGAGCAAACAGCATGGTGGTGTGCGGTCACTCCTGACACCACTTGACATCCCAGGCCGAGTCCCGGGAGCAAACAGCATGGTGGTGTGCGGTCACTCCTGACACCACTTGACATCCCAGGCCGAGTCCCGGGAGCAAACAGCATGGTGTCGTGCGGTCACTCCTGACACCACTTGACATCCCAGGCCGAGTCCCGGGAGCAAACAGCATGGTGGTGTGCGGTCACTCCCGACACCACTTGACATCCCAGGCCGAGTCCCGGGAGCAAACAGCATGGTGGTGTGCGGTCACTCCCTGACACCACTTGACATCCCAGGCCGAGTCCCGGGAGCAAACAGCATGGTGGTGTGCGGTCACTCCTGACACCACTTGACATCCCAGGCCGAGTCCCGGGAGCAAACAGCATGGTGGTGTGCGGGAGCAAACGGGAGCAAACAGCATGTCCCGGGAGCAAACAGCATGGTGGTGTGCGGTCACTCCCGACACCACTTGACGCGGTCAACGATTTGCGTAATTAATGGGAAGGGGGATGAGTCGAGAGCCCAACAGTCCAACATCCCTTTAATTTAGTTGTGTTTTCAACGGAGAGCCCATCTGCATTTGATAAACAACAGGATTATGTCTAATTTCAGTGTCATTTAATACGAAGGCCTTCACTTCATCATCATCGTAGCGATGAATATAACTGAGGATGAATATAAGTATAAATACACAGAGAGGCCATAACTGTTTAACATCAATTGTCGGGGGTTTATGCCAATATTAAGGTGCCCAGGTCATGTGTGAGACTTCTTGCTGATGGCGTGATAGTTAGGTTAGTGAAGACCTTGCTCGTGCCAGTCTTTCTCGTGAGTCGGAGAAAGACAGTTTATATCAATCAAAAGCTTTTATTTTCAGTAACTCGCACTCACTAACACTATCACCACAATGTTAACGTGCATAAACAACAGCAGTCTTGCGTCTTCGCGTCTAGAGAGTGTATGAGACTACACGGTCACCAAAAGTGCTCCGTATATACTACGCGCATGGGAAACGAGCCAAGACCACAGGTTCCGGAAATGATGTGATATCTATCCAATGAGAAGCCAGTACGATATTGTACGATGGTCGGCCTAGCCAATCACAAAGTAATGTATCGCCTTGCGATGCCGGAACTATCTGATGTAATGGACGGCTAGTGAGGTGTTGAATTTTAAAGGGAGCATCGAATCTTCTACGGAAGCCAGGCATGGCCAGGTTCCAACGGAACAGATGGCATGAGGTGAGTGATGAAGCCTTGGCTTGAACGGAAGCAAGCCTAGTTACTGCACATAACTCACCTGGCCGCTGCCTGGCTGACGCAACAGCACGCCATTTGACCGAGGATGAGTCACACGGCCGCTGGGTCCAACGTATGCAGCGGGCAGTTATGAGTGGCTAATGGACGGTAACTGGAATAGGGCTACAGACAAAGCTGTTTGAAGGTGAAAGGTGGCTTTTATTACAGCACGCACACACACAAAAACATAAATCCATCCGCGTGCTAACCAGTCTCTTTTAGGCCACTTGACTGAAATCTTGAAGTTTCTTACTGGACACTTGAAGTTTCCAACTGGGTGGGCAGCCCCGAGCGAGCCAGTCACGTGACTGAGCGGTCACACGACCGACCGGCCACGTGACTGAATGGTGTGACTGACTGACCGACCCGGTTGTTGTGCATTTGTTTAAGGGGGAGAACGAATCTGAATCATCATCACACCCCAGTTTTGGAGGGAAACATTGGAAATGCTTGATATGCCCAAGCTCTTTTTGGTCACTGACTAAACACTTTAGATAAGCCCAAATGACCTCGCAGCGTTGCTTAGGACATATTTACCAGTCACCAATTGTAATGAAGTCGTTAACCGGACATCTGAAGGCGACCACTAACTGGCGGGCGGTGCCGACAGACGAGACCGCCGGTGCCCTGGAAGGCGATGTTCACCAGCGTGCCCTACATCGCCAATGTCTTCACCGCCTTCTGCTACAGCTGGGGCTGGTATATGCTGCTCACCGAGCTGCCCACGTACATGAACAATATTCTACACTTCAAAATCGACCAGGTGTGCATGTGGTAAAGCGGTTTGCGATTTTAGTGGCTTGTGAACAATGGCGTGACGCCGGCCTCGAGAAATGATGTGGCATTCAGGAACTCGGATTGCTTGGCTACTAGAGAAGTCGGATAATAACACTGAGTAAGGCGCATTGTGTACCTACAGCACTCATGCAGTACTCACGAAAACTTCATAGCACGCACGTCCTTACCTTTCAAAGTGACCGCAGAAGAAACCACGTTTCGGTCAGGGACGCGCTTCAAGGAGGAGAAATTTCTTGTGGTTCGGTCGTTTTTATCGTAATATCTCTTAAAGTGCAATGGTCTTCAGCTGACATACTGAGTGATTTCCTGTTTGCAGAATGCGTTTCTCTCGGCGCTCCCTTTCCTGTTTATGTCCATCGTTTCGAACATCGCCGCATTCAGCCAGGATAAGCTGATGGAACGCAAGACATTCAGCAAGACCGTCGTCAGGAAAATATTCGCAGTCACTGGTAAATGAGGTCTTACCAGCACCAATTCCCACCTCGATAGTGAGCTTCGGCAATAGCCCTGAGATACGGGGCATGAGCAGGATGTTGAATACTGTCTCGTTGATCCGTGAAATTTATTTGGATAAAACACGAATGTTCATAATTAGTTTTGGACATGCACGCGGACGAAATCGAAAGCGCCATCTAGCCGTTCTCTCAGCTGCGTCTAGGATGTAGCAAACTTGTTTGTTGTAATGAAACCGCTGATCAAAAAGCCCTCTCTTAGTCGTTCAATCCGCGCCTTCTCACTGTTGAATCCCAGTTTGTGGACCCCGTCATTTCCCTACCAGTAAACCCCTCGACGTTGGGGACCGGGATCCCCGGGACTTTCTTGGACACCGACCAGCCTGACAGCATTGGGGCTTAAGTTTGTCCTCACAAGGACGTGACTTACCGCAGGCCATAACCCTCCGATGCCGTCTTAACCACTCAACCCCGGACACCATCCATTGCAGGCCTGCTGGGGTCAGGCATCTTCCTGGCGCTCGCCTCATTCGCCGGGTGCGATCACGTGGTGATCGTTGCGCTGCTCTGCATCGCGGTGGCTATGGTGGGCTGCATCGTCTCCTCCCTGCTCGTCAACTACCTCGACCTGGCGCCCAACTTTGCCGGCTCCATGATGGGCGTCAGCAACTGCGTCATGGCCATCGCCGGCATCGTGGCGCCGCTGGTCACGGGTGCCATCGTGGCAGGTGACAGACGGTGACTGGTGGTCGTGGTGACAGGCGACAGATGGTGCTAAGTTGTCATTGTGACAGGCGATAGACAGTGTGGTATATGGTCATGGTAACAGATGGCCAGGCGTGACAGCTGGTCAGTTGGTGAGCGATGGTCAGGTGATGACAGCTGGTCAGCTGGTGACAGATGGCCAGGTATGCCAGTTGGTCAGGTGGTGACGGATGGTCAGGTGGTGACAGTTGGTCAGTTGGGGACAGTTGGTCAGGTGGTGACGGTTGATCACGCTGTAAGGTGGTGATGAGTTGGTGACTAGTGGTTAGGTGGTGACGGGTGGTCGGCTGGTCAAATGGTGACGGGTGGTCAGGTGGCCAGGCGGTGACAGGTGGCCAGGTGGTGATGGATGGCCACGTGGTAACGGGTGGCCAGTGAGACCATACAAAGCTATCACGTACATTTACTGGTAGGACCAGACATCTATCTTTTAGATTCCCGATCGGTATTGACACTTGTCACGTAAGCTAAGCAAAGCAGAGCTGTGGCATTAAATGCGCATGTGATTTGTGGGCTTTGCATGATGCCGGTACGATCGAGATTAATCGTTGATGACCGTCGTGTCCTATTTGGTGCTCACTTGCATGATCAGTGCGGGACGGGGACAGATACGGACAGGACAGATACAGATACACGGTGGTACTGCATAGCAGGGGTACCAGTCTAAATGCCGATGTCACGGGCTACATGGAAGAGGGGTATTCTCGTTGTATGCATGATGAAACTCCGACTTCATAAGTCAAAGTATGAAGCGAGGCAAGACATTGCTGGTGTCTGATGTTTTGGTACGCCGCCTGGCGTGAGCAATTTATGGAGGAACAGCATTCTCCCCTTTTCCCGTTCTCATTATTCCCGCAAATCCCAACATGCCATTATTTGCGAATTGGAGTGGCATACGTCAATCATGTTTCATGTTACGGGAAAGCAATTTTGTGAGTTTAGAAACATATTAAGAATTAAAGAGCTTAATTTATCCCACATGTTTTTCCCCAGATAGCGTGTGTGAATACGAGACCAATGAATTGTCACACTGCGTCAAAAAACAGCTAGTTGGAGATCATTTGCGTGTGTAGGTTTACAAACGTATTCAGAGGGAACATTCAGGTGACCTTCTCAGGTGCCAGAAAGGAAAACACAGATTTCAAAATTGTCCTAAGGTCATCGAATGATCAGGCACTATCTGTTAAATGGGAAAAATTGTGCGTTCCTAGCATTACTGCGGAGCAAAACAGCAGTGAGGAGAGGCAGTGGGTCGGGTGGATTTTGTTCCTCCTATACGGTGGGTCATTCTGACAACCCTTCTGCGTCGCGCTTATAGGCATGGAAGGCAGATAAGTTATGTCAATTATATTTACCGTTAATTTGTTTTAGTTTGAACTTAAACCATTCTTACACCGCTAGTTCCGGCAACCGATATTGCAGGGAAGCCTTCCCGGGATCGTAATCTCAAGACGGTGGTGTAAGAAGCCGTCAGGAACTGGCTTAATACGCACAAAATCACCCTCCCTAAACTAAACCCCAACAGCGTCCCATAACTCCGTTCCTGGTGTTCGCAGGACACGACTGACCTGGAGCATTGGCAGATCGTCTTCTGTCTGACAGCAGGCATCCACGCGATGGGCGCGCTTGTGTTCATCATCTTTGCGTCCGCCGAGGAGCAGTGGTGGAATTGCTACCCCTCACGGGAGGCGGCAGAGCTAGCTGCCAAGGAAAATGAACTGACCAAGGAACGGTACTACAAGGTGGTCGCCCTGCCGTGACGACAATTATAGCACGGGTTGCAACGACTTGGAGACCAAATGCTAGTGGGTGTAAGCTGTAAAGCCGTTCTATAATAAAGGCGATATCGACGATGGCGACACCTATAAGGCTGTTCGTGATGACTCCGTGACGCGTTTAGGTGATAGACGGAGGCGGCGCAACAAAGGGGCAAGGGCCCGCCCCTCCCTGTCCATTTTCCAAGCGTTAAAAGCATGTCATTGTGATTCCTTGCAATTTTTGGGGACCCATCATCAGACAGTGTCCGCCCGCGAAATGCCCTATATGGCCAACGCCAGACCCTTTTGGTTTCAGGAGGCCCCAGATGATACAAATGAGGGCCATCAGATTCATGAGAGGACCTAAGAAAAACACAGAAAGCACCGCTAGGCCAACGATTAGGCCCCCTGCCATGCCACCATCCCAAGAGAAGCCCATAAAAATTAACAACTTGAATAAGAAGTAAAACATAAATGATTTGAAACCTGAACGAAACCATTTTGTTAAAAGTTTGGATAGGAAGCCCCAGGTCTGCCCCGGGGTCCGAATGTCGGCTTTCCACCTTGGTAAAACCCAGCGGCGCATTTCCTGATGACCTCCTGTCGTCTGACAGCGTGCAGCTGACGAACGCCGGTAACTGTAATGAGGGTGCCAGAACCGGATGAGGCTGGCGAGGAGGGAGCAGTTGCCCCCGTCCGACTTGGAAAACCTAACACGAGCTCTGCATCTTCAGTGGGATATGTGACGAGTGTTCTGTATCTTAACACGCTCTCGGGCGGGAGGGGGTCAAATTGACCCTCCGAAGGTTTTTCCAGAATGGTTTACGAACGGCGCGGCGTAGCCGCGCCACATTTTACATAGCTGTAGACAATTGAATAGCGGATCATTTGGCATCAACAATTTAGATGTGCCTTGTAAGGTCGCTGACATATGGCAGGTCAAAGTCAGGCCATGGCTTCAGCGAAGGCAATTTCTAGGGAATCATTTAATCTGATCCAGCAACGGAGTGTTAGAAGAATCCATACGTCTCTGAGATGCTTTCTCAGGCAACACAACAGTCGAATGAGCAAATTACATTGACCTAAGGTCAGGTATGAAGGTCACATTAAGGTCAAAACCAACCTGTTTTGTTACTCTGGGGCTTGCCGCATGAAACAGTTTCTGATGGTCATTTCAAATTTGTTGATGGTAGGAACTGCATTACACATCTTCCATGAACTTCTTAGAGGTCAGAATGGACCATTGACAAAAAATGACCCATGTCAGCATTCTGTTTTAGGAACATACTGCCTAGCGTAATCTTTGTCATATAGTCAAATGCAAAACTTAAAGCAATCTTGTATGATTTTGGTCACCTCGACCTTCAAAAGGTCAAAAAATGTCACTGACCTTAAATGAGCATGTGACATTTTGCTTAGAAACAATAATCTAGGTTCTGGGGGCATTTTGGAGACCAGCCTGGAATATTACCTTGTTTGACCTTTTTCCGGAAGGTTATGACCTAGGAGCCTGAAACTTTGACCTAAATGAGTTAACGTACAGGTCAATACACCCTGGAAATTTGGTGTCTCCAGCTTTCTTAGTTCCCGAGATCTCAGGGGAGGGGCAAATTGACCCCCCCCCCCCCCCCACATCCGAGCAAAGGGTGTCTAGCCGGCCACCCGGTCGCGTGTTAAGGCACCTTAGTGACATTTGTTTTCCTTGTTTTGTGCAAAATCGCTGTCAGGGAAGATGTGTGTTATACAGAATGTGTGCAAATATATAATGTGTGTGCTGTTGCACGCTGGGGTGTCTTTGAATAGGTAACGGAAGTGCATTATACGTTACTGGTAACGGAAGCGCTTTACTGACGTGTTCAGGAAAGGCCCAGCAAAATGTGACCGCAGCAAAAGCATACAGAGCCTTTATGGGCTGATGTGAAGAGTCCGTAGAGGGCTTCTGATTGATTAAGAGTACCCATGCATGTTAGCAAATAGTGCCACAACAGCAGCGTATGGCCCTACGAGAAAATACAAAGATATCAAGGCAACGCGGAAGGCTCTTTAGCGATCGAATTGACCCAGCGTGTGGACATATAGGGCCCCGCAACAGGGTAACGCCTCTAGACATCGTGATCAGCCTCACATTCCCCCAATCAACATTCTCCCAATCAGCGAAGAATTTATCTTGTCTGCTCACTGGCTCTTCACTTTCACTTGCAACTGTTCTTGGTCGCTTAGATGACCAAAAACATCCAATTTTATCGTGTATAGTGTTAGAATACTGCGTCCTTCCTGCCAGTTATGGGCTCCTTTGGAGCCTACGGGTCCCTGCGGGGCGCAAGGGGGACAAGGTCCGTGCCCCACCCTCTCTGGATGCGCCACTGGCTCGAGCAGCTTAATAAATGGGGCGTCGAAGAAAACATAGGGCCATCCGTTCACATGAGTGGTAGCCAAGAAACAATATGGAGAGCCGGACATGATCAAGTGTCCGAGTATCTTACCAGTATATTATCAAGTATAGTATACAGTATATTACCAAGTATCTGGTGACCCGAGCGGGTCACCTGATTGAGTCCTGGGCAAGCGCATAGGGCCCTTCATTCAAGCAAGGAATACTCACGACACAATTTAAAGGACTCCGAACGATCGAGTGCAACAAACAGGAAGGGCCCCGACAAGAGCACAGGGCACTTCATTCAAACTGTAAGTTCGCAAGACCCAATGCAGAGGGTCCCCGGACGATCGAGTGTACCCCTGCAGGTTATCAGATAGGGCGCCCGACAAAAGCGTAGGGCCCTCCACTCAGATAAGAAGTACCCGAGACCTAGTGGTGAGGACCCGAGCTTACCCGAGCGGGCTATCAGATGGCCGGCGACAGGAGCGCAGGGCTCTACATTCAAATACAAAAATCCAATGTGCAGGGCCCACCAAAAATTTAGTGTGCCCGAGAATGTTAAAAGATGTGGCACCTGACAAGTGCGTAAGGCCCTCTTTTCAATTAGGAAGAACCCAGGACCCGATTTGGAGGCTCCGAGCGGCCGAGCGTGCCCAAGCAGGTTAACTAATGGCCTCCGACAAGAGGATAGAGCCCAAAGCAAATGCCAGAGAATTGGAAGGGCCCTAGACCAATGCAAAGCATATCGCGGGTGTGCTAGTACGTTAATTGAGACCAACGTGAAGGGCCCCTGGACAACCGAGAATACACCGGCAAGTTAAGATATGGGGCCCGCACTTTAGCATATAGAGCCGGTCAGGTGGGTGGGAAGCATCCGTGGAAGGACTCTGATTAAAAAGTGTCCTTGCACGATAGCAGGAAGGGCAGCAGCGCGGGGCCCTCCGAGCAAATGCAAAGAAATCAAGGGCAAAGAAAGAACATTTTAATCACATCGGCTCTGCAGGTTGACGCACAGGTCTCCTGTAAACAGCATAGAGACTCCGAACAGCGTAATGAGCACTAAATTATCCCAGTCACAACCTTTGAAATCAGTGAATAACTATTGTTGTGTACTTGTGGACCCCATACTTTGCCCTGCCCCTGCCTGTGGTTGTCTGAAAGCCCAAAGACGCCTAATTTTGTTCCATGTTGTTGTTTTTTTTAAATGCGTCATTTCAGCCAGCTATGGGCCTTTTGGAGCCTATGGCCCCTTCGGGGCCAAGGAAGGGATATGACCCCGAACCCCTTCCCCCATTCTGGATCCGCCCCGGGTTTCAGCTCAAACCACATACAAATGTGGAACACTCCCTTTAACGCGGCCACTACTATACCTGCTCTGTCGTTGAAAAGAAGTGCAAGTTGAGTCTCACACAAAGTCCTCCGTCACACCCGCACACCCATATATATATATATATATATATATATATATATATATATATATATATATATATATATATATATATATGCGTACATCCAGGCAGTGTCGTCAAGTCAGTCTTTCTGCAGAAGTCTTTTTTGCACCCCGGGCCACATTTTATGATGAAAAACACCTATGTCCACGGGTGTCGATTGGTATCCTTTTTTAAGAGCCCTGCCCTCCGCCCCCCCCCCCCCTTCTATGTTGAGTGACACCCCAATCTTGGCTGCCCCCCCCCCCGATGTTTTTGGGTGGAATGCTACCAAAAAATGTGGGTGGAGGATGATCATAACACGAAGACTATCTTCTTTGATCTTTCTGCCTGTTGGCGTCTCATACCACTATCATAGCAAGAAGTCATGGCTGCTCTCACCACAATATACAGATCTTAACAGCTGAGCGAATAAACGATGCAATAAACATTACATACCTAGCGCCATAAGACACGCAGGGGTTTGTGAGGTTAAAGTGAAAAGCTCTGGAATATGGGAATGACCTAAGTCCTTCATGGTTAACCTCGTCCCCGTTCCCTACAAACAAAGTGCTTGCCGCCTCCAATAACCGCCAAAGAAGATCACCATCGGCGCCCTGAGGTGGCCTCTAAAGGGGCGCCTTCACGTGCCGATCAGAAGAAACGTGTACGTCCAGTGACTGCTCCTTTGATCCAACCCTGGATGACTTCTTCACTGCTTATATTAAATAATTTTTTTTAAATTTTACAAAGATTAAAAACGTATATTGTGTTTGATCTAAATTAAGCGGGCTAAAACAGGTGAGGAAATTGGGGGGAGGTAGGTTGCCGGGCCTTTGGTTCGGCACCCCAATAATTTGCAAAAATTGACACCCTTGCCTATGTCCCTGACCACAATCGGTCGGTTTAACAAGACGCTTTCCTACGATTCTACCCCATTTTAACACGCGCTCGGGTGGGGATCAAATTGCCCCCCCAAAGATTTTTCCAGAATGGTTTCCAAACGACGCGACGTAGCCGCGCCAAATTCTGCATAGCTGTAGACGATTGAGTAGCGGATCGCTTGACATCAAAAGTTTCGATATACCTTAGATAGTCCCTGATCTACGGCAGGTCAAAGTCAGGCCATGGCCTCAGCCAAGGCAATTTCTAGGAAATCGTCCAGTCTGATAAGATAACAGAGTGCTTGACGAAACTATACATCTCTGAGATTCTCTTTTAGGCACCACAAATATTGAATGAGTAAATTACGCCGAACTGAGGTCAGGTATGAAGGTCAGACCAAGGTCAAAACCAACCTGATTTGTCACCCTAGGGCTTGCTGTATGGGATAGTTTCTGGTGCTCATTTCGAATTTATTGACGGCAGAAACTGCATTATGCATCTTCCGTTGACTTCTTAGAGGTCGGGACAGGCTATTGACCTAAGATGACCCGAGTCGGCATTTGTTTTAGGAATATACTGCCTAGCGTAATCTTTGTCGCTTATTCAAATGCAAAACTCGGAGCAGTCTTGTATTATCTTGGGCACCATGACCTTCAAAAGGTCAAACAAGGTCTCTGACCTCAAATGGGCTCGTGACCCTTTGCTTAGAAACGGCTGCCTAGGTTCTGGGGGCACCTTGGAGACCAGCCTGGAATTCGACCTTGTTTGGACTTATCTGACCTGAAGGTCATGACCTAAGGAGCTCAAACTTTGACCTAAGTGAGTTAACGTACAGGTCAAGACACTCTGTGAATTTGGTGTCTCTAGCTTTCTCAGTTCCTGAGATCTCAGGTGGTCAAATTGACCTCCCACCCGAGCGAAGGGTATCTAGCCGGCCACCCGGCGTGTTGGGCGTTTCACAAAAATATGTCTTCATATTACAATGAGCTCGAAATGAGAGATGATTATGCAGCAAAATAATGTTAGAACCAATCAAAGATGAAAGCGTTTTAGTTTGATATCGAGGACGCAAATTAAAGCGACCAAACTCTGCGGAAGAATCAGGAGGGGGGACGGGTATTAAGTTAGGTCAACTGTATCGGCCCAGCTTCCCAGCCGATTTTGGAACGTGTTGCCGCTGTCCGGAGGGCATTGCCCCCAATACAAATCAGTTCCGTCTTACGGACCAATGATATTGTTGCACCTACTTCTCGCTTAGGAAAATTATTTTCATGTGAAGGGAGCAGGCAATATTTTTTTCACTGCTGATTTTATGCAGCTGGGCCTACTCCACATTCTCTCACGTTCCTATCGTGTTATGGATCACATATGTGGGTGAGCTACGGAACAGCACGCGCGAATCCGGTGAGCCTATCCCGATGCCACGTTGACCAATCAGCGATCGCCAACGAACCAGCAAGCGCCAGGCATAGAGCGATGGTGCGCCGTATTTGTCGTTCGTGTCCTGGAGCCGGCCGGCCGTCATTGTCGGTACCGTGGGCATCGTTGACTGATACGGTTGGCCCGCATTTGAAGACTATAGTATACTAATTGTATCTGCTCTCGAGATCAACGATGCTGAAATATTTACTGTTGTCGATTTTGGTGGGTTATACGCTGGCCGATTCTGTGCTGGAGCTCGTGGACGGCGACTTTGACAGCGTCATTGCTGAGCATGGCACCATCCTGGTTATGTTCTATGCTCCGTGGTAAGTACACCAGCTTTTGCGGATTTCCGTGACCATTGTGTATGAAAGAATGGTCGTGGTACATTACTAGGCTGGGTTATTGCGACAAGGCACTTGTCCACGCAAAGCATGTGTCCAAGTGTCAAGGAGGGCTTGTACTGAAGCAGAGGGGTGGGTAAGGCCTGCCTATAGATATGCTTAATGCTGATAACGGTTATTACGTGCAGTGTCTGCCAGTGGTGATGAGTAGTTTTGCCATGATTCAAAGGGTTAGAGATACCTGGTTTTGAAGGGATTCATTTGGCATAAGTTACCTTGGTCATCATTTCTTAAAACCTTATTGATATCTTATGAGAAGTTTTGTTTCATGTAGCGCAATGGTGCAATGTTGAGTTGAGTATGCCTGAGGAGAGGGAGGTATGTGTGAAGACAGGTGTGGCACCACAGATTTTGAATTTGGTTGGTGGGGGCAGGATTTTTCAAGGGACTCCTGCATAAAATGGGGCCCCTGGGGGCTTCCTGGGCAGTGCCATATTCAAGAAGAGAGGCTTTGAAGGCACATGCCTCTCCATCATATTATTGCATATATCCTAGAAAGAAACAAAAAATATCCAGAGAGGGTCCTGACTCTTGGAAAACATCTTGCTTTCCAAAAACAGGGACTCCTGTAAGGAAAACTGATTCATAGATGGGCCTCCTTATTTGGCTCAAGATGCTTCTGATGCATGAAGAGGCCTTGAAAACCTAGTCAAGGGACATTGTTATCCAGAAACAGGGCATTTTGATCTGGAACTGCAGACATCTAATGCATAAAATGGGTGTCCTGTTCCCCACTTCTCTTCAAGAAATAGGCCTCCTGAATATAGAAGATGCCTCTAAACTCAGAACAGGAACTCTGTAGTTTGCAATATAGCCTTTGAGTCAGCAAAATGGCCTCTCAGCATGCCATGGGGCCTACTAATCTAGAGCATGGACTACTTTTTTTCATAAAGGTGGCATTATAACCCCAAATATGTGCCTTGTGATATAGGAGATGGTCTTTTTTGCCTGATTTGTTGGCCTCTTGCTCAATTATGAGGGCCTCCTTGGTCTGAATATAGGTAGTCTACAGGAGGCTAAAATGCCCTTAGCTTGTGAAATAGGAGCCTCCCAAAAAGTTTGGGAGGACAAAAATATACTTTTGCACAGGTGGAGGAATCTGACTCCCTACCCCCTCCCCCCCCCCCCCCTGCTGCACTATCCTGGTGAAAAATGAATGTGGGATGCTTTGATAGAATAGATGTCCTGATAAGCAGGACAAAGGTGGTCTGAAGATGTGATTTTAGCAAATGATTTTATTCGGGAGGTCTCCTTCACATCAATTCTGGTGTGCATTTGATTATAATTTTTGCTACCTGGCTTTTTGGTGTGTGTGTAATATGACTTAAATGTGCTGTGCTTAGCATTTGCCACAAGACTTATGTTCTGGGTGTGATAGAACACTGTTTGGACCATTGTTAGCTGGTGTTACAGTTCATGATGGTTTAGCCTATATCCCTCCACCCATCATCAAGTGTTACATTGCCTGTAGGTAGTGAGGGTGTTTGGTATATAGTCCACTTGCATAACAGCTTACCAAATATTTTTGCAGCTCTGTGTTTGAATGCTCTGTCACGAGATTTGAAGATAGGGACATAACCCCAACAGCATGGAACAGGGCATGTATTCCTGACATAATGTGGTGATTATAGGAATCCCTTGTAATGTTTTTACCATTTTATTACTTGCAGTCTCTGTCTGTGTACTGCATGATGGTTGGGTAAACACCCAGAGCTGTTGGAAACTCCTAAGGGTGTTGATGTATATATAGTTGTATGTCCAACACTGAGAGGTCTACTTAGAACTGGCTAACACATGATTGAAAGCTGGAGAAGGAACTGACAATAATTTGTGCATATAACACTGGTTAATCTATCTGAACACAGTCATGCACTGTGTAAGAATGTTTTTAACTACTTTTGTTTTGGTGGGCCAGAACTTGCTGGATGTTATTCCTTGCCACATATTACAGAAAATTGGTTCTATCCACTGGGACAGGGAATTCTGGCCACCAAAGCTTGAGTAGTTGAAAAAGCAGCCTCACGCCAGCATCAGTATATTGAGTTCAGATAGCCCTAGTCCTGCATTCTTAAGTGTCATAATGTTCACCTTGCATTTCAGGTGCGGGCATTGCAAGAAACTTAAGCCCGAGTTTGAGCAGGCAGCTGCAATTCTCCTGACAAATGAGCCACCAGTGGCACTTGCCAAGGTAGGTATGAGCGGGTGCTCCAATTCATTTTCTTGAAGCTGTGACTGAGTGGAAAGTGATTTGAACAGCATCAGACCAGAAATTGGTGTGATGTTTCACACTTCTGGGCTCTGGTACCCTCATGACTCAATGGATAGTCAGGTAAAATTTGCATTTTGCTTTGTTGTTTGTGCATATTGCATAAGAAGTGTGTTGTTCTTCACAAATGACTGGCTGGTCTTAGGATTTGTTTATGCTGGAGCTAATGGCCTCAAAAGCTTCATGGATTGACCAATGGCTTGCTTCCAGAGCATTGCCTTTGAGCTATTGTTTTGTCAGGATGCCACCAAATCATTGAACATTTCAGGTTGATTGCACAGAAGGTGGCAAGGAGACTTGTAATAAGTTTGGTGTCCGAGGCTACCCAACAGTGAAGATCTTCAAGAATGGAGAGTTCTCACAGGAGTACAATGGGCCAAGAGAATACAGTAAGTGTGATTCAGATTATCTAGATGCATTGTCTGTATCACATATCATCAATCTTTATATTGTGTACCAGCAATATTTATATCATGTCATGAGTATCTGTATCATTTGTTATCAGTGTATGTATAATTTGTCATCAGCTGCTGCATTATTGTTATTATTTGATATGCATCATCAGTCTTATGTATTTTATGTGCTGTAAATGTATGGATTGAGCCAGTTTGCAAATCGCATAACTGGTCATGTAGATACAGGCTGGCAGGATGCTATACCTCCTGTGCTAAATGGTAGCCAGTGCTGTCACAGAGCAAATGTGTGTGCGTTGGGGGAGATTCAGTGTTTTGAAGCATCTTCTGCCATGGCACCATAGGTGACTGGGTGTAATATTGCATTTCTTAAAGTTGGGGGCATGGCTTTTGTTCATCATTGGCGCAGTCCATGTTGGGAGCATGTGATAGCCAAAGCACTTGAGAATGTTGCTTGAATGCCTTTGAAGATCTGGATCACTCATTCAAAATGACAAAATGTTTAATGATGCTGGAATATTCTGGCCAGCCATCTCTCTGTCCTCTCTCTGTAGATGGATGCATGGGATCATAAAATTGCCATCTGTGTCAACATAGCATAAAATGACCCCCCCCATGGTCAACACACCTTTCAAAACCAAACTACTGGCACCAGCTAGACCAGGCGTTTCAGGAGGTTGCCTTGTCACTTCTCATTTTTTTGCTGGAGGCACCTGTCCTGCCCAAGCATCACTGTGAGCTTTGCTGCTTGATGCCTGTTGCCACACTGAGGATTGTTTACAACTTGTGGCATTGTTCATGGGATGACACAGACTGCCTGTCAAGACAGCTGTTGTGTGAAAATGCCAGCTGCCAGGGTTGGGCCCAAGGGCCTTGGTGCATGATCATTAGTTTGGAGATTGTTGATGGCTAATTGAGCTTCTCTTTCCTTTCAGATGGTATCGTCAAGTACATGCAGGCCCAGGTCGGCCCTGCCTCTCAAGAGCTGACGGCAGATAACATCGAGAAGTTCCTGGCCAAGGATGAAGTTGGTGTGATAGGTTTCCTGAAGGAAGGCGGCGACCTCAAGTCGGTCTTTGAAAAGGTTCGTGTCACGTAATGTGTCGCCGGCATAAGGGAGGGTGCTCCGGAGAGCTCGTGCTCGTCGAATCGGCCAACGCTGTATGCCCGGGCTCATGCTTGCGTGCTACAGATGGTCTGCCAGCGCTCAGAAGCAGGCATGCGTTTCAGACTGCATTGGTCCAACATGTCTTGCATCCACTGAACTATGGGCGCCATATAGCCGTAGTCAGCGCGCCCTAAAGCTGAATCATCAGCGTCGCGTCCGCTGCGCTGCATCGCCACCCCGCAGCTGATCTTGGCGGACCCATTGTTCGCCTTACTCGCCGTTGCTAGCGGGTGAGCGCGCCGTGCGGACCCGGCGACGTTAACGCCCGCTGCCGGCGCGCCAGGTGTCCGACAAGCTGCGTGAGAAGGTGCGGTTCGGCCACACGAGCGAGGCGTCCCTGCTGAAGCAGTACGGCGAGGACGTGATCGTGCTCTTCCGGCCCAAGCACCTGAAGAACACGTTCGAGGAGAGCAGTGTGCAGACGGACTCGACGGACCGCGCCGAGATCGAGAAGTTCATCAAGGTCAACTAGTGAGTCCGGACGCTGGTGTGCGATGTCGCTCTCTGGGACGGGACAACGTAGGCGTGGCGGGGGAGGGCAGCAGCGGCGGGCGTGCCGTTCGGGTGCGCCACGCCCTGTTGTGAAGCTCGGGTGACGTCGGCCGCCCGCTGTTTGTGGACGTCGCCAGTCACGCGATGCGGTGGGCATCGGATGTTATCAGCGAAGGCGGCGGCGATGCGGCGCTCCTGGACTGTAACCGTGTTCTCCGGGACAGGAGCGGTGACGAGGCTCATTGGCGACGTCCTACGTTGCATTGGCAGTATTGCCTCGATGGCGAAGCACCGCGTCGCCGCCGCCCATATGCTCGCGTGCTGCTGCAAGCAGGGTTCATTGACATTGAGTGGGGTCGTTATATAACCACTTGCGTGCCTGCCGCGACAGCAGTCGCGTTTCACAGCTGACCCGTTGCCGGCTGGCTTTGTGCGAGGATACCACCTGTGCCGTCACGCGTCCGAGCCGTGGCCTCACCTGATTGCGTTCCGTCTGTTGGTTCGTGTTATTATCCTAGTGTTGGTCCATTTGTCGGGCGTAAGTGTGATTAAAGACGCATTTTGGAATTCCCGCCATTTCCCCGCCACATCATGCCCAGCTGGCTGCACAAAGCAGTTCTCGCCCCTCCGCCGCCTCTTTGCTTGTTCGAGACTGGTGAGACAAGTTCTGGGCTGGGACGCCAGCTGCCGATGACGCCGCGCCGGCCGTCTGTCTGACCCGCTCCCGTCCCCGCTCCGCCGCAGCCACGGCCTGGCAGGTCACCGCACCACCGAAAACGCCGCCGACTTCAAGGCGCCGCTCATCATCGCCTACTACAACGTCGACTACGTGAAAAACCCTAAAGGTAGGCGGGCCCGCCGCGAGCCGCTCTGCCCCGCTCGGTCCGTCGCAGGGCTGGCCGCACCGGAAGTGGGCCGCTTCCGGTGCGGCATCCGGCCGCTGACTGGCACCCGTGTTTGGTGTTGCCGGTGCTGACGCGGCATGACTGAGCAGCATCTGATACGGGAGCGTCCGGACGGCAGCGGCGTAGACACCGCCTAGACGCGGCGCGAGGGGAGGGCTGGGGGCTCGGGTGCGCTTGGGACTGATGAATAGCCGGCCTGTAAAGGAGGTTCATGGTTAGCACATGCTCGAGTACTTCGTACTTTGCCTGCCGTACAGCACGTGGCGTGTCGTGCGTCGCATTGTGTTATCGTAGTTGGCCGCGTGCGCCCTGCTCACGCGTGGGCGTATGGTCCGTCGCAGTCGTGCCGGGCGCGCGACTGCCGGCCCCGCAGCGCCGCTGACGCCCTGGTGACCCCTCCGGCAGGCACCAACTACTGGCGCAAACCGCGTCATGAAGGTGGCCAAGGCGTTCGTGGGCCAGGGCCTGACGTTCGCCGTGTCGCAGCACAACGACTTCCAGCACGAGCTGGAGGAGTACAACCGCGGCTTCGTCAGCGGCGAGAAGCCGGTGATCTGCGCGCGCGACGCCGAGAACAAGAAGTTCGTCATGGAGGAGGAGTTCAGCATGGAGGCGCTGCAGAAGTTCGTCGAGGCGTTCCAGGTAGCTGGGGGCACTGGTGCTGCGGTGGCGGGGAGCTTTGGGCGGGTCGGTGCATTGAAACAGCGCTGGAGATGTGGGGACGACCTGTCTCGGTTTCTGTTAGGCACTTGCATTTGTGTTAATGTAACGCCGTACGGTTTGCCAGTAACAACTGCCTGAATAACGTAACGTCTGGTTCTGTCGCGGCCGTCCAACACCGCACTCGGCGGCCATCCGCCGTCATCAGGCGGATGGCATCAGGGGTTATGGTAGCCATCCGCGGCAGCAGCGACAGTTGATGCCAGTGGCTTGTGGCAACTGCGATGAACCTTTTCATGTCGGTCTGACCAGCTCTAGACCGTGGCGAGCTCCGTGGGCTCTCGTTTGACGCCGAGCTGGCACGTGCCGCGACAGGAGGGCACGCTCACGCCATTCCTGAAGTCGGAGCCGGTGCCGGACAACAGCGGCGGCGGCGTGACGGTGGCCGTGGCCAAGAACTTCGACGACGTCGTCGTCAACAACGACAAAGACACGCTGATTGAGTTTTACGCGCCCTGGTGCGGCCACTGCAAGAAGCTGGCGCCCGTCTACGACGAGCTGGCGGAGAAGGTGGGCTGACGGCCGCCGCCACCGGTCGCGGCGGACTGCCGGGCTGGGTCAGGTCGGTGTTTGTGAACACCGTGCACGTGAGACCCGGGTTCGATTCTCGGCCGTGGCTGCTTTATACCAAGGAGGATCATGCCGTCGCTGCACATGAGCGAGGGCTGCGCGGTGTGCGTTGTGAATCCCTCTAGCGAGTGTTGACGTCCCTCGGTTGGAGCTGCGCGGTGGTTGTGCGGTGATGCAGTCTGCGCAGATCGTGCCCGCTATGCTGGTTCCGACTCCTCTATTGCGAAGATCACCAGGGTGATCTTCGCCGGCGATCTGCTCAGTCTCGAAATCCCGTCACTGATACCAGCTGGACCCCGCCTGCGGCGTCTGTGACGCCCACTGTGCCCCCCCCCCCCCTCCCCCTGCCATTTGCCTGGCCGTGTCCCCCCCCCCCCCATCGCCTGGCCTGACTGACCTTACTCTGACCTGACCCGCAGTTGAAGGACGAGCCGGAGATCGCCATCGTCAAGATGGACGCCACGGCCAACGACGTGCCGTCCACCTATGACGTGCGCGGCTTCCCCACGCTGTACTTCGCACCCAAGGACAGCAAGAGTAGCCCGAAGAAATACGAGGTGGGTGTGCGACGGACGCCGAGGCCGCGCCGCCGCCGAGACTGGGGTGGGCTCGGAGCTGGGGCTTTAAGCGCTGGACATTGTTTAGCGTACCGCTCTGGGTTTACGTCTGGCAGCTCCTCGAAGTAAAGCGTGGCACGTGTTTGGTGTTTGCCGCGGTTTTAAGAAGGACGAGCCTCGACTTTGCAGAGTATTCAAGTCGGTCTGTGGGTAACCACTGGTCTGATGTGTTCTTCGTTCGGGTGCTGCCATTATCGGCATATCTCGGGGTTTACCCGTGCATGCCAAATTGTGTACGTGCAGCTTAAGTCTTGCGACCGTTTGTCGTGTTTTTTTTGTGGTGTTAGTCTTGGCATGCTTGGCCCCCTATCGTTGGTCAGCAACTGTGTAGGGTTATTACAAAGCCGGGTCCTGGGATCTTGGTATCGAGTAATCTATCCTCGCTTGCGGTTGGCGGCTGCAGTACCCGCGGGACTACGAAAGGGTAGTGGCATTTTAAGATGGAAAAGACCAGGGCCTGAGCGCGTTCAGATTTTGCCGGGTGTGGTGTTCGTCTCCTCGAAAACCAGCGACTGACTGCAGCCCCGAGATGGACTGCAGACTGATCCCGAACAACGCCACCTATCGTCCGGATGTCACGAGTGCGCCCTGCGCGACAGCGCCCTGGCTATGTATTGAGATATTCCATCGCTTTCGAGGCGTGCAACTAACTGGATGCGTCCTTGGCGTCCGCAGGGCGGCAGGGAGATCGACGACTTCGTCAAGTACCTGGCCAAGCACGCCACCAACGAGCTCAAGGGCTACGACAGGACCGGCAAGGCCAAGAAGACCGAGCTTTGAGCGGCGGCCTGTCAGCCAGCCTGCAGAGATTCCGCGCGCCTCTCGAGCCGCTTGTGATACATGTTGGGGCCGGGGTGGGCCTGGTGTGTTCGTGTCTCCGCTTCTGGGTCGGCTCCCGCGGCCAGTCACAAAGTTTTCGGCGCTGCGCGTTGTTGCCCGTTCCATTGCGTTCCATCTCTGTGTGAGTGCGTGCGAGTCCGAGTCCCGCTGCACTGTTCAGCACCGGCCTTTATTTTTTATTGATACAAAATATAGTGGACAAAACAGGACTCGCGTGTGTGTGTGTGTGAAGGGCTGCGGCAGCGCGCCGGCCATCGCGCGTTCGAAACGGCACGTCCGGGGGGCAGGATGCGCCCGAGAGCGAACACCGCGCCACGCGGCGGATGTCGGCGCGTCTGGAGCCACGCCGTCGTCGCGCTCCGCCAGTTGCGCGTCCATGATGGGGGGGGATGAGGGTAGCCGCGGAGCTCAGCGTCGCTTCTGCGTGCTGATGTAGAGCACGTTGTTGCCGCGGATGAAGGCGTCGCCGTACTTGTTCTTGAGCTGGCCGTTGTTGTACTCCTCGGTCTGTTCGAGGGCGATGTTCATGTAGCCGTCCAGGCAGGCCAGCACGCCTGCGGGCAAGAACGCCGACGGGCGTCAGGCGCCTGCTCGGAGGGTGGCGGCAGCAGCGGGGTATAGTGCGGTCATCAGGTGCAGTAGGCGCGTGAGGTCTTTGTGGTTGGTAGTGGAATGCTAGTGGCGAGTCATTGCTACAAGCACGAATTCGCCGACGTGCGCGGTTACATCTGGAACACATTTCTTGCGTGAACGAAAAGAGACGCCATGGTTAATCTTACCTCACTTGCGGCTCCTTGACGAGCGATGGACAAATGCCTCACAGTATGTGTACGTGGGACCCCGGAGCCCTGTTTCTCATTGGTTTACGACCCAAGCTCCGCCCGTTGTGGAGGCGTCACAGATACACACCAATGAAGAACGCCTCTAATAACAAATTGGGCGCGAGCAGAATCGGCTGATTCAACAATGGGAGCATGCAGCGCGCAATAATCGCGCCGTTGAATGTCATTCGAATAATAGTACATGGGAAGTGATCCGCACCAAATGACAATCATCGATTGCAATATCCACATGGGATCGAGGTCTGTCTAGTTGCCGGACGTACAAGACCGTTATCAGAGCATCGACCGTTGCTAGGCGCTGCCATGTCGACATCGACGACTTACTCGGTAAACACATGCACCTACTTCGCCTCTCGGCCGAGTAAGAACTGGGCTTGGGCCGTGACGTCATAGGTAAGGAAGGGGCTCCCTCCAAAGTAGCTAATGGGTTCCCACTGGCCAATGAAGAACGGGCCCCCGGACGGAGGGCTGTCCGTGTGAAAAGCGATCACTCTGATTCTCGCAACTGCGGCATGACGACGCCACCGACTGACCTCGGTAGTCGATGCCGTTGTTGAGTTTGACGACCACTGGTCGGCCGATGACCTGCTTCAGGAACTCATTGGGCGTCTTTCGCTGTCCTGCCGGCGCGCTCATGGCTGCTGTGCGGAGGAGCACGACAACGTAAACATCACTGGAGGGCCAGCACCACCCAGGCACTGGTACATGAATAGGCATTCTTAAGTCCACAATAACAGCAGCCCACTGCCCACAGCAAGAAAATGAAAGATGTGACTATGCCAGCTAAATTCTGGAAGGCCCACTCAACGCAAACACGGTAATGGCCGATGCTAAATCCTGCCAGCATGTGCCCACATCCGTGAGGGACGCGTGGGGACCGTCGGGAGTGCCTTCCACATCCATGAGAAACGCGTGGGGGACCGTCGGGAGGGCCTTCAACATCCGTGAGGGACGCGTGGGGACCGTCGGGAGTGCCTTCAGCACCCGTGAGGGACGCGTAGGGACCTTCGGAAATGCCTTCAACATCCGTGAGGGATGCGTGGGGACCGTCGGGAGCGCCTTCACGTCGCAACAGTCCTGGAAGTGAGGCAAGCATACCAGCAGGCACACGGCCGTATGCCCGCCCTCAGGCGCTGCACGCGACGAGAAACGTCTTGGTGGCATGACACGCATCACGGCAAAAAAAAAGTGGGAAATGGTGGTGATTTCGTCATTGAGAGGATATGGTTTAGCCTTCATTGTAATGAACATAAAATAGACAGTCTATGGTCATGCTATGAAAATAAGGCTGGAGAGCATAAACACATATTGGTTTGCAGCTTTGTCAACAGTGGACAAAATATGTTTTAGTGCTGCTCATTACAATGTGTAAGCTGAAGAGTTCTGATGATGGGCTCAGACAGACACATACTGTCTATTTAACAGCAAGTTTTTATATCCTGCATGCTGAGTGTGGCTGCAAGGTTGTGGCCTTTTGCACCTCTCCACCAAGGTCGGAACATTGGTTCTGGCTTTGAAACTCTGAGAAACCTGGTCTCAACAAGATTTTAAAGATTTGATCCAAACCTTATGGATGGATGGATTTCTGTGATCTGAGCTAACACAGAGCAGGTTTTGTGTGAGCCTTGATCCCTACCATCCCATTGTGCAATTCCAGGTAAACAGCAGAATTTCATGGCAAAAATTTAAGGAGAGTCTTCCACATTTGTAAAGGTTTTGAATTGAGCTAGCTGCCTTGAACACCTTTAGGGGCTGTTCACAATCCTGCCCTTCTTACGACCTAAGTTCCTCCAGTTCCTGAGCTACATGCCCACAAAAATGGGGAAGATATATCACACAACATTTCAGAATGTTGACATTCATGACATGATAATAATGTCATTCAAATTCTCCCATTCCATTAGCCATGTGCTGCTCCAGGTCAGTAAAATATGATGTCAGGGGCATTCATGAGTGCAACATCCATATGTAACCCATCACCATCAGTTGTCTCTCAATCAATGTTGTACCAGGTATGATGCAATCAAACCATAACACAATGAGGAGCATACAAGCTAAATGGAGAATTGTGCTGTCTAAAGCAGTCTTTTCCACTTAAAAAGTATATAACTAGTTATAAGAGAGATTATGTTATCTTATCTGATGTTTGCTTTGGAATCTTAAACATGTAACATTCCTTTTAACTTGCTGTGACACTCTGCACAGTCTGTCCTGTCCTCTGCCATAATCTGACCTTTAAGGATGCTGCTGCTAGCTACTAGCCTTAGGTCTTGCTGTCAGGGACAAACAGCAGTACCTGAAACAACTCTGTAGGTAACTCACTACACCAGGGGTGGGAAATCAGAAGGCAGGTGCTGTAAACAATGGAGCCACTGGGACAGGAATTTTGGGTGAATGACACAAATAAACTTATTTTTGAAACAATTAATGGGACCTGTCTGGTCCACTGATATTTCACAACAACTAATTACATTTTATAGCTGCTGGAGATCAACAGCAAGAGCTGAATTGGTCCACTTATTGCTATCAGATATCAATGAAATGTGTCAGAAGTCTGAGTCAAACTGGTATACCTCCAGCTATACACACCAGCAAGCATTTATGTGAATCAATTCAGGTTAATGTGAGCTATAAATAGAGAAACAATGTTGGAGTATGGCTAGTGCATTGTGGCACTGCCATGGTCTGCTTATGTTTTGTATATTACTTTAATATCTTGTGATTTGTGTTAAGCATTTGGGTTCTGTCTCAAAAGAACTGTTTTATACATGAAACTGCCTTTTCCATGCCTTATTTACACAAGTGACACATGTTCATTTGACCTGAGCATTTAACATTACCTACATGCATTGAAGGTCCACAAACTTCTGCACTGCACAGATAACTTTGAAAGACTAAGACATTTTTCTCTGTTCATAGGATGGACATTGACATGGACAAGCACACTTGTTGTCACATGGCACAGAATATATCAGAGCCTTAAGTCAAATCATTCCAAAAATCTCACAAATTTGGAGGTATGTACCTATTAAATGATCCACTCAGACAGGTGCAAACCATTTTTTAGATTGATGTGCCCTTGTTAACACTTCTTTTGACACAGAACATGTAGATACAGTGAACAGAATATAACATAAACTCATGCGCTGCATGACATATACATCATATGCAAGGCATCAAGTTAAAAAAAATTGCGCCAACACAGTTCAATCAAAGATGAATTTCTGGAGACGTGACAAAAGTAAAATGCTCGAATCTGCTTGTCACAATTATTCACTTACTGCTTCTCAACCAACGACTGCAGTCAATGTGACAAAAGGGAGGGTCCGGTTCTCTTCACTCGTTAAGAGCCTGAATGAACGGACTAAGCCCTGTTCAACACCTCCCAAACGAATCAGGCACAACGGTCTTACGTTTTACGGAAAGTATTAAACTTACGCTGAGTGGTACAAGGCTGAGTGGTAGAGCATGTACCACCATTGGCTCGAGTGCGCCGAGAACCCAGACAAAGAATGAAGTACATCGATCTAAAGTACTGCTGAAAAGCCTCACACAGATTTTACTGGTATTGATATGCGCTTCGGGAAATATCAGGGTTCTCTTTAACTGTCGCATGACAAGGAAAAAACTTTTTGAGTGGTAATTTTTCACAATTAAAGATACAGGGTACCTTACGACACGCTGCAAAGTACGGCGTGTCTCGACGCACGTATGCTTCGCGCAGGACTCTGATTTCTAGCCCGTGGCGTCATCAGCTCGCCTCGGGTAACTCGAGGCACTGTGTAGGGTAGGAATGGGCATTTCAGCTAGCTAGAAATAACGCTGAATTTTTTCACTACCCGCAGTAATCGAGGGTCGCAGCTAAACATACGGGAGAGTATCTAGAGGGGGGCGGGGATCATGGAGTCATGGCGCCCTTGGCCCCATGAGGTTTTGGCGCCCTTCCTTGGCTTCGGGATTCTTCGGGACACCAAGCAGACTACGTCGGGCCTCAACACCTTTGGCTTAGAGTCATTAAATCCAGGTTCACCGTAATCTGTTAACCTGCCACTACGACAAAACCTTGGGTAATTTTTTCTTATACGAAGGGGCACGATAACCTTTCCTTGGGGGCGCCTGTAACGTTATGCTTTTATCGCCGTCCCGCGGTGCGCGAATAACAGTAATGAATGCAGGCAGTCTTCGTACTGGTACGTGTCAACTCAGTGTCTATTTGGGAACACCGCGCCTAGTTCGGCGCCCCGACCTAAACAGCCCAACCTCTCGCACGCCAGTGTGTGCACAGCTGTCTTCTACCACGCGACCGGTCGGTGCTGCGATCTGGCCGGCCACAGTCAGCGTAATCTCTAGTTACCTCATCGCTCATGAGATATCGCCAGGTGTACGGGCCACACTTCGCACGCCACACGTCACCGTACATAAGTTGTATTTTCCAGAAGCATCCAGATTTAGGGACAACACAAAGAGCCCCAAACCTTCCCTTCCAATAGCGAACTAACTCCAGAAGCGTTGGAATGTCTGTGCCTCGCCATTGATGAGATCCTATATCGGCCCATCCGACGGAGAGACTCCAAAGACCTTATTTGTTGGCGCCGTAGACTTTATTTTGAAGGGTCACTCTTCCCTAGGGTCACCACAAATGGCTCAAACCCTTCATTTTCAAGTGAATACAGGTTTCGGGGGCGCTCCAAATGAGCCAAAAATCTTTATTTTCGCGAGGAACAAATTCCGACCCCTCGAAACTGCCACGCCGAGCGTCGGTGATTTTCTTCTTTTTCATGATTGTGATTCCCTACCGGCAGTCACCTTTTTGAGGCACGCAAAAATCGTATGTGATAAATACCCTCAGGTACAGTAACAGATAATGCACGTTCACCACAGCAAAACTGCGCGTGCCCCCGGACACATTTGGTTGGACACTGGCCTGAACAAACAAATGCGGATGCAAAAGTTCGAGACACACGAGATGGCATTTGTTCTTGACAGCTTCGCCGCTGGAAACAGCAACCACGTATTTCGATTCATGCCGACATAACAATGCAAGACGTTGCGTGCCGGTGGTGCAATGTATATCGGATATCCGTGGGCTGTGGATATCTGCGAACCCGAGGCATGGCTGGAGTTACATTCCTCAGTTCGAGTTCCAGCATTTTGTTCAAACTCCTTGATGATGCTAAGCCATGCAGTGCAAAATTTGCTTTTTTCCGTAACACAAAGCATTCTGCATATGGTAGTTAGGTGGTCCTGTGTTTTACTGCAAAGCCTATCACATCAAAAGTATACGCATTTCAACATGCTCTGCCGCTTTCCGTTGCAACCACAAGTATGTTAGACATTGTGTCATGCGATGTCATTTGAGTCACCGCGACTTGGAATTCGTGTGCAAGCTGCTGCTTTCGCTTTCAACTATTCATTGCAAGATCAGTGACATACAAAGTCAAATTTTGTTCTTGTTTCGACGTACGTAAGTAAACGATGGCTACTCATTTGAGCCGCGTTGTCGTGCCTGACGTCGTTTTTATTTAGGAGCTATCATTAACCCGTTATGTCATATATTTTCCAAATTGCTGAGCTAAGAATGAAAGGGTTCATCAGTCTCTGGAAAAATGGACGCGCGCCATATACATATCCACCTACTCTGCCTTTTCTGCCATGATGCGCAGAGGAAGATAGTTTCCGGATTTGAAAATAGGAATCTGAAAATGAAGTGGTCAAAATTTGGAAAACTCCCTGAGAGGGAGGGAACCAAGATCCAGGGGCACCACAGTGAGGCGTGCCCCTCCCCCCCCCCTGACAAAATCCTGGATCCGCCCCGTGAACACAAGCCAGGCAAATCTTGTATTCGGCCAACAGTCAGCATCGATGGAAGTTGGCATTGTTTTTATATGATGCTCAGGGACAGCCAGGCCGGTATTTCGTGACATATTACGAACTGGCCGAGTTCTTCGGTCATTCCGCCCGAACATGATTCTCTCACGCACGTTTGCGCAGCGTGCTGCTATTCCTTGTTTGTCTCCATATTGCACCCGGCCGTCAACTGTGTTGTACCATGCAAGAAGTTCACGGCATTATTGCATTTGAACCCAATACACCGTTGCAGACAAAAAGCTAACCAGTATACATGAAGAGCACAATTCGCCGCGCTTCGGTGGCAAGCTAACAGCACGACACAAGTGTGTTTCCGCTCTGTATTTGGTGTAGTTGATTACATTGAGCAGGAAACGGATCGAACGGATAACATCAAATGCTAACACACGTCTACAGCGCAGTGACCAGCATATCAGAGACATATTGAGAACTCTGCTGGACCCATTTTGACGAGATCCCGACATTAAGTGGTTCCAATACCAGGGACACCGAAATCTCGCTTTGCACAGGGGCTTTATTATGGAGGAGCCGGGACAGCAGGCGGCAGATTCCTTACGAAGGAGTCCGGTACAAGAGGCGGAAGGTTCATTACGCAAGGGCCTGGTATAGGAGGCGGGAGGCTCATTACGCAGCAGCCGGGTACAGGAGGTGGGATGTTCATTACCGAGGAGCCGGGTACTTTCAGTACAGGACAGTGCGGGGTACGGGAAGCGGGAGGCCTGCCTTCCCGAATACTACCGATGTTCCACAATACGTCCATGGCGATGCATGAGCAGAGTGGTATCAAATGCCGTATGCGTCCCTGGCCCAACTTCCCCAAATTCATTCATGCGATGTCGTCACCTTTCTCTTCCTTTTTCGTTTTATTAGGTGATTTTTGAGGAATAAACTGGTGTAAAACAAGTGGTCTTTCAGCTAGAGCAAAGTCAAGTAAGGATGAAAATATTAGTGTCTGACATGCTGTGAAATACTGAATAGCAAAGACCATCAACAACAAACGCCACAATGTGAGCTGCCTGTTCAATGCTAGCCGACTGCCGACATATACGGTTGTCATCACACCATCAAGCTCTAAACAGCACTTCGCCGCGTCTCATCAGGTGCGAGCATTCCTGCCTTTTGTGTGCAACAATCCGTGCGTCTCATCGCTGGCGAACACAACATGTGGTCTTTTTTGGCTTTGAACAGCATACTCACGGTGGTAATCAGATTGTGCCTCCATGTGGAATCTTTGGCATAATGGCTCCCATCCATGCACTCTTCTTCCCCCCCCTCCCTCCCTCTCTCTCCCTCTGTCTGTCTGCCTGTCTATTTCTCTCTCTGTCTCTCCCCCCTTCTCCCTCTCCCTCTCTCTCTCTCTCTCTCTATCTCTTCTATCTCTCTCTCTCCTCTCTCCTTCTCTCTCTCTCTCCTCCTTCTCTCTCTCTCTCTCCTCTTCTCTCTCTCCTCTCTCTCTCTCTCTCTTCTCTCTCGTCTCTCTCTGATCTCTCTATCTCTCTCTCCTCTCTATCTCTCTCCTCTCTTCCTCTCTCTTCTCCCTCTCTCTCTCTCTCTCTCTCTCTCTCTCTCTCCTCTCTCTCTCTCTCTCTCTCTTCTCTCTCTGTCTCTCTCTCTCTCTCATCGTTGCAGTGGCTGCCACTTCGGCCTGCTCAGGAGCCGGTACAGTCGGGCTACCGCTCGCGCAAGCGCCATCAGTAGTCGACAGCAGATGGCTCTGACGACCGGCTGGTTACACTTGGCTGTCGCTTGCACGACACCATCAGTAGCCGACAGCGACGGTCTGACGACGGCGCGAGCATAGCATGAGGACGCCGGAGAAGACGAAGTCGATGATCTCGACGACGGTGAGGATGGAGAGGCCGAGGGTGATGCCGAGAGAGCCGCCCACCTCGCCCACCAGCGCCGGCAGCTCGTAAGCCCACTTCTCCTCCTGCAGCACCAGCTCCTGTCGGTAGGACTGAGGTCAGGCAGAGGTCAGACGCGGCGACCCGACGTCAGGAGCGGGACAGGCTGGCGGCTGGTGGTGCAACCTCACCCTCCCCACCCACATCGGTGCGGCAGCGGAAACGACGCGGAGGCACTGACCCCTGAGGGCATGTCGTGCCATGCCATGCTTAAGCACGTGAAATGAGTCGCCAACTGAGGCGCTTTCCACAGATTGGCTGAAATGCTGCTCGGAGTCGTCGAAACAAGAGTGAAAAAATTTCAAGAGCTTGGAGTCACTCTCAGTGACGGTTTTCGCCATTTGCTGCTGGCGATTATTCTAGCTGGATGAAATGAGGTGACGTGAAAGGCGCCCCCTCCCCCTCCAACTTTCCACGCAAAAGTTTTAGAACCATTATATAAATGCCGTGGCCTACAACAGTAGCTCACTTATTCCATCCTCACTCGTATAACCCTCGAAACCCCCTTCCGATTCCACCCACCCTTGCTGGTGTAGAAAAGGCGTTAGCGAGGCTGTGACTAGCATGAACGGCATCCTCCACCGTCTTGACCTCCACCGTCGAGAAGTGGACAGCATCACAGCGAGGCGGGCACCGCCAGGTAGCCAGTCGTCCACGTGATCCGTATCCTGCCGACCGGGCGGCGGGTT